CAGACAGAACCTCAGGGCGTCATCAGCCTGTACGGCCAGCTCAGTCACGTAGCTCAGCGTAACAGAGGCACTCTGTCCCGGAGGAAGACTCCCGACACTCAGGCGAAACACGTCAGAACTTTCATCGCTCTCCTCCAGGAGGAAGGCCTGCTGCCCTGAGCTGACGGCATCGTCATACTCCTCCTGAGCCTGACAGACGATGAGGAGACAGGGACAAACATAGAGATACTTACTATGTCTAACAAAGTCTCTGTTTATGGTGTCATTGTGAAGAACAAGTAACTGATGATTCCAGACAGCTCACCCTAAGACACACTATGAACAAAAAAACACACCTGCGCTTTCTCTTTGACTTGGGCCTTAATCTCAACATCCCCAATGCGGGCAACAAAACTGTAGATGGTGGCGTTACTCTCCATGGGGAAGATGAAGACGGCCTCCACTGGACTGGACTCCTGGTTCTCATACTGAAGGGTGGAGCTGACAGAAGCCACGTGACCCTGGACATCCACCTGCACCTCCACCGACTTCAGGGGCACTAAGATACAGACGAGTGATGAAGCGATAAGGACAGAACAGTAATAAAGGGCAAGAAGGGAACCGGGAAGCTGCCATTAAAATACACAGGGCTGTTACACTTCTACTGTTTATCAGAAACACACATTAGTATTGTTTTACATGTAACTTCCAGCTGAAAGGGACAGTTGTTCAGCAGTTTAATGTAGGAACTATTTTTTTCTACCGAACTCCACACACCAATAGTATCACTGCACAAAGGAACTCATGCTCATATCTTCTGTGCAGTGATATTACAGAAAATAGTTCCTACACTAAACTGCTCACTATAAAGTCTGTGGATTATCTTGAGTAACCGGGTCATGAGTTCTGGTCAGAGACACTGCCGTTCAACTTTCCCAGTGTATGTTTTTGCTGCTTTAAAAAGCCACAGAAAGAATGTCGTTCACTCCTATTATATTCGAGAGAAGACCAGCATTTCTACGGTAGATCTCTCCAGAACAAGATAACTCCTAGAAGAACCCAGATCAGGGGTTCCCGGACTTTTTCCACCTGGGGACCGAAAAGGCAGATTTGTCGTCTGCCTGGGACCCAAACCCAAAATATATTATGAAATACCAACAAATTCACATTGTCATGACCCATCATTTTTTTAGGGGACAGCTTGTTTTCTACAGTTTTCCAATGTGTTAAAAAAAAACATTGACTAATAGGATGTTGGTTTTTACACACACTTACTTAATACTTATCCGCACAAACCGCATTATGGACGTTCCTCCACATTTCATAAAGCTTTCGTGAACCCAAGTGAAATATATTCTTCTTCATAGCTATGTTTGAACATTTTGACGACTAAAACACTAGCTCTTCTGACTGAATGGCTGACTGATTGTATACACGCACTAAAGAAAAACGACGACTAGAAACAGACCGCTCTGATTGGATAGGAAGTATCCAATACCATGAAGTTTCAACATGACAACGGCACAGTTTGTAGAATCCTCTGCAGAGGGTTATTTGACAGGTGCACAGAAAGATGCACTGCAACACATCTGCCATATCTTTCCTTGGTCAATTGGTGACCCACTGAAAACGAGACCCATTTCGGGTCGCGACCCATAGTTTGGGAACCCCTGACCTAGATGGACAGACAACACTAAAACTCATCTAAAAACTCTTTATTTCAGTTTTGGGGTGAACTGCCCCTTTAATGCCTCTTTGTAAACATTCTACGTATCACATTTTATAATCTTATTTTTTACCTAATTTCAGAAGATTTCAATGCAGTTTCACAGTCCATGGGTTAGCACCCACCAAGCTGATAGAAGTACACACACGTATTGATTGCAGCACCTAATTATATTACATGTAATCCAAATTTTCAGGCACAGATTGAAGCAGTACCTACGAATATTATAATACTGAACAGTTATATATATGGAGAATTGTGATGTCATGAAGTTATAACTGTTAATAAGAAGGGTACGCACAGCGTACTCTCTGCACAGCAATCCATAACACTTCTAGCAGCAAACAACATTGTCTAATTTGCTGCCAAAATACTGGTTTCAACATTACTGGCACCCCTATGCTTGTGACCCCCACTCCTGGAGAGGATAACTGTCTCTGACCCCCCTCCTGTACAGCTTGTCAGGCTTGGAGGGACACTGTATCACTCCTTTATGCAGAATACCCAAGAAACATTTCAGATTGTCTATATTTGAGTTTGCAAACTGCTCAGAACACTGATGTGCGAGTGTCTCTCTCAGCCGGCACACATTTTTTATACCTGGTTCATTTTTTAGGGTCCTCAATCCGCACACGTTCGCCATTTAGTCAGATGAAGAGACGTGACACTAAAAAGGAACACAAGATTCCTGAATTAGACAGAATCATACCTTTTTATAACTTGGTTTAAAAACACTATAAAAAACATCTTCCCCTTGTTAGACATCAAGCAGGAATAAATCGGACCGTGGTAGAAAACAAGAACTTACAGAAGTACGATTACAGAACCAGTCACCCACAAGACAGTCACCCGCTGATCCGCTTGGACACCCGTGTCTAAAATGTTAATCTGGCGTTTTCTCTATTTTAAAAACAAAAAGGTCCAACAGTTGTTTATAAACTGTCACCAAATCAATTGACCTATAACCAATGGAGACCAGCCCATGGGGGTGCGGTTTTCCAATGGTGGTGATAGAAGGATAAACGGGTGACCTTTGACCCTAATTTATCTCCAGTCTGTAAATCTGCTTGCACACATCTGACATGGGCCAATATCTAAGGAACGTTTCATTTAACTCAAAAAGGGGTAAGGGTCACAGGATTTTGCAGCATTACTGGCACGGGTCCTGAAAACTGGGCAAAAATTATTATATAAAACAATACACAAAATGCTTCAAATGCTCTGTTCAGGAATTTGGGGAACCCAAAGACTTTTAGTACATTTTGCAAACACAAAACATATTATTGAGTAGTATGTTTTGTTTCTGTAAAATAATGGTTTCAATATTATTGGCACCCCTACATTTAATCGTTTGTGACCCCCCACTCCTGGAGAGGACAGTGGATTCTGAGCATCCTCCTGTAAAGAGTGTCAGGCTCGGATGGAAATTGTACCACTGCTTCATGCAGAATCTCAAAATCCTTGATAATCTTACATTCACAGATATATCCTTCAGTTGAAAAGCTGTGCTCACAAGTTAACTATTCAACAAATCCATTTGTTTGACTATTTGCACTGAAGTTATTGTTCTACGTTAGCTGAAAGTTACTCAACTAGCAGTAGACATCTGACACATTCTTTCTCCCACAGAATACCATTTCAAGGCGGAGCAGGCATTTTCACAAAACTGATTCACACCCATTGACTAGTCATATGATCTTATCATTTGAGCCATAAATCCTCCTTGTTTCAACAAAAGCAGTTGCCATAACCAATCTGCACAAAGTTCCAAGGATTTACGAAAGTATGTTGCCATTCTTTGATGATATGATGTTATTTCTGGTTGGAAATATAGCTTTGACCTGCTAGAGCATCTATCCACTGTACAGCCGGGAGGATGGGAAGGATGCGGAAACTGTCGCCACAAAGACAACACGGCAAACCAGAGACACCACAGCAACTACACCAACTAAGGCTACCATTTACTTGCAAATGTATCCTGCTTTTCCTTCACCCATGTCAGCCTGGCCCAGGGACAACATGACTTCAGAACGTACTTCAATCCACATTTAGTAACCTGTTCTCCAATCTAGGGCTGCAGTGAGACTTGAGAAGCACCAGGGAAATAAACAGGCAACTTTCAGAATAGTTCATGCCTTCAAACACTATACTGCATAATGGCCGTTTATTTACTACCGTACTACATCTTAACTATGTTCACAGCTTGACTGGTATATTGAGAAGTTACTGTAAATCATACAGTGCAGTGCAGTATATTTTTGATTGTGGTGTATTCTCACCCAACATAAAGGCTATTTTTTTTAGAACATGTATGCCACACACACACACGACACGCCCTTCGTTAAGGGAAAGCCACAGTATGTACCCTCAGAGCCTTGAAGGATTTACCGTTTCTGTCACTGCAAATTTTGGGATGATATATTTTTCTCTTTCTTTCTCCTTCTTCCTTCTTATTTTTCCTTTTCAAATTAACGACTTATTGTAAAAAAATTTTTTTTACAAAACTAACAGATACAGTAACAAATATAGCAACCGCTTGGCATAAAACATGCGTCACGATTCATTAATGATGAACGAACATGACAGGAGTATATATTCAAGACTTAGTTTGTGGTTAAATAACACATAAGTAATAAGATAATACTATAGTATTTGTGCTCCGTCAAGTAAAGTGTTACCAGTAAATTTAACAGCAGGCAATCGCAGCCATACCGTGACACATGTAAGGACCTACGCACATCTGAAAACAGTCGTTTCACGTCCGTCTCGTTAAATACGTGCAGCACTTTGCGCACGTTCCGCATCATCCATTTGGAGACTAATGCATGAGATTTTGTTTATAAAATCGACACATTGAAACTACAGGTTATAAACTGAACATTTGTTTAAGAACTGTTAAAGTAAGCAATCTGAAACAAAACTATTCATATATATTTACAATACTTTACAGGAGGAGTACAGATACCGTAAAAAAACACTTTACGAAACATACAATATCAACTGAAACTATTGTATGACTATGAAAAAGAATGCTACATAAATCCGTCTGCCTACCTACCTATTTCCAAAATGTAAAGTTCTCACTCCTGCTTGCAGTTAGCAATAAGCAACAGCGAATTTATACGCCTCTCCCTTAAATGTCTGTTTGCGCTTCCGTGTTTGACCACGTGGTACTGAGACGGGAATCACTCGCATTTCTGAAGCTTAACGGGAAACTCCTGGATTGCTTACAAGAAATAAAAATATACGAATATGACTTAATTAGAAAGGCACATGTTTATTGGTTTGTGAAACCGACCTATTAGGAAAAAGAATGACTCATCGTCAAACTACATTTGATATATATGAGGCTGATTATGCTTTGTTGGGTTTAATTCCAAAATTGCCCACGGACAATTGAGCAATATTAAAGACAATGAAGTATATAGATTGTGTTAAGTATAATTCCGATGTTGATTCTTGCCTATGTTTCGCGGCACTGGACCGAAATTTCAACATCACATTCTGATTAGTAGTGTAAACTTTTAATGCACTTTTAAAGAATAAATAGTTATAAACGCAATGGTGTATTGTGTTCAAGCAAATTATAACGCAGAAATTATTACGTTATATATACGCTATTACGTGACTCATAAAATGGAACATATGAAAATTATTATACTTGTTTAGATTTTTAACTGTACATAATATAATAATATCAAAACAAGTATTGCTGATTTCGTTAGATTAGCTATTGTATAATTGTAAGTGTTCATTGTTAACTGACATCATTATGTACTCATGAGCACTCAACCGGCAGGACCACCTGTTAAATGAGTGGGAGTCCTGGAATTAAGTGATGTCACTTTTTTCCCCTGGGATGTTCCTAAATAGGCCCCTATTCCACTCCCATCCCCATCTCTTATCATTCCTTTAAGTCCCCCCCCCCCCCCAGAGGTAGTCATACAAATGGTACTTCATGCATTTGAAGGGTTCTCCTGATGGCCAGTCCAATGAGGATTTGAAAAATCACCCAGTGTCATTTTCGTGAGCCGGAAGACCCATGCAATATTTCTGGGAACCTGGGAAGAGATTCATCAGGTACTTTTATAGTTACTGTGTTCACAAGATCAAGTGTCTTCTGCAGCTACCTTTTCCTGCCACCTACAGTTGCACCTCAGGTGGAGATCTTAATGCATATACTGCAATATTTTTGCGAAGTGATAATAAGATACGGGTAATACTATAATTATATATGTGGTGATCTGGGAACTATTTAATTTTGAGATAGCAAAAGTCATGCAATGCCACTTAGTGACGGCAAAGGGAAGAGCAAGGAGCAGCTGTGGGTTACATTTGTGAATACAATAACTCAAAATGTATTTGATCGCTCTGTTGACATTTTCACAAAAACATTATATGGATGGAGATCTATGTGAGTTTTCATTTTGAACCTGTCTACATCAAGACAAATCACACAAAATTGGGCTTTTAATTAAGTTTTTTTTTGGATAGGAGGGGGGTAGTGACTAAGGATTAGATGGGGGAGGGGGGTGTTGTCATTCCAACAGCATTTAGTTACCATAGCCAGCATAACAGCTGTTACACGTTGAAGGACATAATACCCATTATAATATTTTATTATTCCCACCCCATATCCAGCCCAGCTCCTTTAGATCAAGGATGTAAGTGGTGGATTTCCTGCTGAACTCCATCGCTGAATAAGATGAGGTCCTTCCATATGTTAAATTCTGCAGAACGTAAACTGCTATAAGTCATCGAACTATAAGCCTTCTTTACATAGCTGAAATATAGCTGATCATTTTCTCTAGTGGGAATAATACTGCAGCCTCATAAAGGAACATGACTTATCCTGCATCCTGAGACATTTAGACATTTTCCCTGCAGGATTATCCCTCTCAGTGGAGAAGCTGAGATTCTTCCTTCTGGCTTCCCCCAGTGTCACTGCCTTCTCAATCCTGGCATTCGCTTGGGCCACTTCCGACAGTTTCATTTTCTTCTTTGCATCCATCTCACCTTCATGTCCCCAAGTCTGCGGTTGTGCACAATTTACAGTCTCTATTTGTATTTTTTTGTACTGTCTTTGCACTTTGTTTTTGTTTGTATGATTGCATTTTATCTACCTTATTGCTGTATGCAAAGAATTTCTGCCTGGGATCAATTAATTATGTGTTAACTAATCTTATCTGCAAGATGGTGACCTTTTCAGGAGAGTGGTGAGCACGGCTTTGGATTAGAAAACCAAATTACACACACAGAGCATGTTCCACAGATCCTACCAGGTGGGTCTCTCATTTCCCCGCATGCGTGCATGGGTGGGGGTGGGGGGGAGGGGGTGTAGGCGGGGTGGAGTCCTTTCACACTTTATAGCCTTGTGATTCCTTACCAGGCCCATTCATCTCGCTTACGAAGACCTTCACTCTGGAAAAATGAGAGGTGAGACTGCAGGGTCCCCGGCGTGATAAATACTGTAAAGCTCACCTGAAGCTTCCTAAAAAAAAATAATTAACTAAACTATTGCCAATTAGTTGCTAGCAAGGTGTCTCACTGCTACATTTTAAACTATACTTTACACTATACTTCTGCACTTTAAAATTGTGTTACTATACGTTCGCATGATAGATGATAGTCACTTAATGAGTTCGCAGTAATATGAAGCCTTTCCTGGTTCACCATTATCCTAATATGCGTCTGTTTTTTTTCTACAATTACCAACGATGTCACACTTAATACAATTCATCTTTTATTCTCTGTTTTTTCATACTGTTGGAATATCCTGTACTTCTATGAGTTTATTTGAGTAGCTAATTTATTTCTACATTGGTCGAATGGAAGAGCTACGATGTTTTGGGTGATCATGTATATAAATCATTTAATGATATATGTCTAGCATATTTACTTTCTACATATATATCTAATGTGTTTTTTTCTTTTTAGATTTGTCGTTATATGTAGTTATTTAGAATTCCCTTTTTTGATTGAGCAAATGACAAATTGGCCTATTCTGATTGTGATTTCAGTACAAATATGTATGAAATCCCTCCAGCTTCCAACACAGTGCGATTTAGTATAATCCAAGTTTGGCTCAGATGTAATGGACATTCAAAATAAAATGGCTACACTGTAGGTAGTCTGGTTACCTGCATACATGTTATTTTTATTTTTATTTCCTATCACGTGATTTTGTTGTCTCTGGTTGAGGGTTGTAATACTGCATGCATTTAATGTATGTTAAGTGCATCGTGATGAGATTTAAAGGAGATAATTTCCTCCTTTATCCAATGTTTTTTGTCACGTAGACAGACTGATATTACCTGATACACCTGTAGCTTGATAAATAGCACATTGCAGTGTGAAAAGTCATGGGTTCAAATCCCAGAGAGCATACTGTACATAAATTGTAACTGTAACGTCCACTGTTATTTGCTCTGGATATGTATGATGCGCCGGCATTTCAGGGATCCTGTTGCTGTCCTTGCTGGCCACTGCGCTCACGGAGAACTGGAACTACACCTGGAACGGGCCGGGGCACGGCGACACGGCAGACTCCAACACGGAGAACAGTGAGTCAGGGGCACAGTCTGGGTGTGGGGAAGCGGTGAGGCGGGGGAGGGGGGTTGGCAGAGCTCCTTCAGACGGCATGCTCCTGTCCGCCCGCAGTCTGCCTGACGGACGCGGCGTCCTGCGGCTGCTGCGTGATGCATAGGCACATGTGGAAAATGGAGCGGTTCTTTAACCTGAGCCTGAGCGAACTGCGGAAGGAGCTGGAGACGGCGCAGGCGGCGCTGGACGGCATACGAGGTGAGCCGCCGGCCAGCCTCTCCACCCCAGCTGCACTCCTGCTGGGAGCATCCCATCTCACTGCCTCGCCTTCCTCTCTCTTCCTAACGCCGCAGCCAGCCGAAGCGCCTTCTCTGTGGCCCTGCTGGACGTCCGGAACTGCTTAGGACCTCTGCGGCAGGAGGTGACTATAATGTACCAAAGCGTCTTTATCAATCTCGGCGAGAGCTATAACCCGGCCACCGGCATCTTTACCTCCCCGCGCTCGGGCGTCTACAACCTGGCGGTCACTATGTACAGCGACTCTGGCTCCGCGGGCGCCTTGCTGGCTGCTTGCGGCAGCCTCCGTGTCAACGGCAGGGAGCTGGCCTCCCTCAGCGAGAGGAACGACCAGGACCAGGAGGACAGTGCCACTGTGGTGCTGGCCGTCAGCCTCGAGGCGGGGGACCAGGTGTCCGTCCACCTGCTCCCTGGCTGCTTCCTGTGTGACAGCAAGAGCCACTTCAACACCTTCACTGGCTTCCTGCTCTATGCCACTGACTGAGGCCAATGCTCCGACCTCCTCTCCCCTGCTGCTTGACCAGCGACCTATGACCTTCGACCCCACTGACATCTAGTTGTGGTATATGAATTTTTTCAGAACTGGCGCTCCAGCACCAACCCCCGAACTTCAGTTAGTCGTGCAAACTAAGCCTGGTGATTTGGCCAATAGTAGTCAAGGATCAGGACTGACTCCACCCACCACCTCATCCCTCCCCGGCCTGTTTGCTCCAATTCCAGCAAATCAGGTCATTCATCCTATATTAACTTAGCCACACCCGGACTCTGTAAAACTCGCACATGTGATTTTATGATATAAATACTATTCCTGATTTTACTTTCTGCTTTGTGTGTGTTTCATACACTCGGACATTCCACTGAAGTACGAGCAGAAGAAGCTGCAGATGGTCTTGCTGTCAGTCTGTTCAACTGCAAAAAGAAAAATTGGAAAAACAGACACAAGGGGAACTTTTCTGTTATTAACATGCTCCACTTTGAAGAATTAGCAGAGATGTCTGTCACGTTAAATGGGACTTTAGTCATGCGGCATAAGAGGCAAGATTATGTTTTAGAGAGAGTAGTAAAAAAAATATATAAAATAAATAAAATTGATAAATATTTACGCTTATTCCTATTTGCACCATGTATTCATCATTTCCTCTAATCTAATCAATAAATATTGCTTCCACAAGTAGATAGAATATGCGTGTGTTTAACCATTGACTTTCATGGGCAATATTAGCCATATCATTTGTAAAATGTTGTAACTTAATAGTAGCAATGGCACATGATCATGGTTGATCGAGCTGAGAATTTCATATATTTAAATAATGGAATGAGGCCTAAACCAAAAAAAAATTATCTCGCCTAGAACAGTGTTTCCCAACCCAGTCCTCGGGGAACCCTGGACAGTCCATGTTTTTGCTTCCTCTCGGCTCCCAGTGCACCTGTACCAAGTATTCGGTGTTCCTGATTGGCTGGGAGCTGGGAGGGAGCAAAAACGTGGACTGTCCGGGGTTCCCCGAGGACTGGGTTGGGAAACACTGGCCTAGAAGATGTGGGTCAGTGCGACCATCTGTGGTACCATCATCACATCGTACCATTGCTGGTCCTCTGCTAGTACAGATGCTTCTGCAAAGCCCTGAAGATAGGGAGTTGCCTAGTGTTAAATACTGCTGATCTATAGTATAAGAGATACTCAAGATTTTATTGTTTTTATCAGTTGAATGAAACATTGAAGGTGTATATCCCATAGAAATACTTTAGATACACAGTTTGAAGATGAATAAATGGATTATTGTAGTGTTATGTATTACAATCAATAATATGCAGATTAATATGATGAGCACAATTATTTGTTAATAAGCATGTTTATAGTACCTTTCTTGATCAATAGTTGGCAGAAGATAAAGGGATCTATGGAGCATAATTTACATTCAAAGTCACCTTCAATGAACTGGCATCCCATCCTGGGTGCAGTCTGGCCTTGTGCCCTATACTGCTGTAGCCCCCCCCCCCCCAAGATGAGTGGCCATGAGATGGATGAATGGATGGATGGATACTTTTAGAATACTGTTAGTTGCAATGCTTTCTCATAAAGACTAAATGGTGACTTTATTAGGTACAACTGCTTGCTCAAACAGCAACTGTAGCTGCAACCTGTTAACAAATGTAGACTGATGTTCAGTTACTACAAACAGCATTAGAAAAGACGAAACATGTCACTTAAGTGGTTTTAAATGTGGTATGACTGCTGGTGCAGGCCATGATGGTTATAGCATGGTAATTTCATGCACTGTACCGCCTCGAATTTATGCAGAATATTGTGATACGTAAAACTTCCAGTGAGGGGCAGTGCTATGGGTTAAAATACACTGGTGATGAGAAAGGTCAGAGGTGAACAGTCAGACAAGTTAGAACTAACAATATGGCCACAAGTGCGAAAATGACAGCTTAGTACAACAGTGGTTTGCAGAAAGGTATCTCTGAACACAAGGCATCAGATCTTGCTAGAATTCCAGAGGAAAATAGGTGGTCCCAATAAAAATATTACCCTGTCTTATTTTTCAAACAGGCTAATTAACCTCCATTTTAGGCACATTGCATCAGATAAGATCATTATGAAGAAATGACCAATAAAATGCACAGAATATATACAAGAATATTGCATCTGGGATAGGCTCCAGACCCCCCCGTGAGCCTGAACGGGGCATGCAGTTACAGAAAATGGATGGATGGATTACTTCTTCATGGAAAGGCAGTGATAGCATCTTCTGAATTATAACTTGTTGAATTATAACTGGGACACGGGTACAGGCAGCGTTTCATCTTTCACTAATGGCTTTTGGAGACAACGGCAGAGAGAGAAGAGGACGACCCAACATCAGACACCAGACGACACTCGACACCTTCTCAAAAGTAGGGCCTCTATTGATGGGTTGGTATCACCTGTCACTGTGTTTACAGTGAAGTGCACGACTAACAGGTTGGTCAGATAGCACCCGATTTCTCAACACAATAAAGATGCGAAAGGATAGGAGACAATAAGAGAAGGATTCAGGTATAAAATATGACACCTGTGACATATTAAAAGTATTGTGACTTTGAAAAGAGGTTCCTGAGAGACTAGATATTATAACCCATTTATAAGATATGTCAGTGTTATCTGGTCCTGGACATCAGATGTCCTGGATCTGGGATTAGGTGAGAGATACAGAATGAGCCATTACTGCTGTCGGTCGTGGTTCATCTCCCATCACCGGGTGGGGGGTGGGGCTGCTCCTGGAACTCAAAAACCCAACCATCCCAAGCCAGAATCTGTATGGAGTGGGAACAGAACACGGCTGCTGTTGGGTTCCCTGGGTCTGTGAGAAGGAGAGTTTGGCTGCCGCCATCGACACAGTGACACAGTGAGTACACACAGACGCAGCTCAAAGCTGCATCATGCAGCTACAGCGTCTCCATGACCCCGAGAAGGGATTGTCTAGAACCCGGTGTCTTCCTGTAGGATGTGAATCTCTTTCCTTTTTTCGTTTTGCTTGCTTCTCTGCGGAGCGTGTGGTTCCGGCAGCGTCAGAACATCTACTGATGCGCTCATTTGAAACCTCAGAACCAGCTTCATTCACAATCCCATTCATTTTAAGTCGAGATGTTAAATAATTAAAAAGGGGGAAATAAAATATGTCAGCAATATCTGACACATACACAACAATCACTTCCCAGATTTATTCAATGTCAGTATAAAATGAATTACGATCCTTTTTAATATTATTAAATTCTATTGGGTGCTTGCTGGATGGGAAGCCAGTTCACTGCAGACACACACACATTTTAGGTAATTTAAACACACCAATTAGCCTATAAGCCTGCTTTTGAATCCCCATACCAGGAGTAAAATCATAATTTAATCCAAAAAATATTATATTGAGTGATAAACTCAATCTACAATACTTGCATATTTAAAACATTTCAAATTCGTTTCGAAGTATTTGTTTGTCAGATGCAGTATGATCAGAAATAGTGGAATAAAGCACTCAGTTGCCAGCCAGCAATGGAGAGCCATAATACTGATTTGTTTTCAACAAAATAAATTTTAAATTGTATCATTTTATGGGGAGCATGAACTATTTTCTATCCATCTGTTCATGTTCCAAGATGATGATTAATCTGGCTGCGATGTCTACTTTTCGCCACTGGGGGGTGCTGTTTCTCTGTGTCGGAGTTCAAGCCTTCAGTTTTGACTTGATGCGAGACTCTGCGGGTAAGACTTTTGCCTGAACCGTGACCGTGACATGTCTGTGTCCTTTTATCAGCATGCCTTATCTAGCATGGAATAAGTTTGATATTTTTAACCTTTCCGCTATGAATCATGTTATGTCTCATTCTTTTTTTTTTAACCATCATTTTTCTGCTTTGTAATTCTTCTTTAACGTTTGACACAGCCTAAAAGCACGTTTTAGACTCACGCTAATATCCCACAGTGTAACTCCAGTCCCTCTGTTCCTCAGTGGGCTGGCACGGAGAGCTCCCATGTGGAAAATGGGCCTGTGACTGTATCTTCAGGCGTCAGACGGGGTGCTGTTGTGTGGCTAACAGGTTCTACCAGATAGAGGAAGAGACTTTCAAGAACCTGGTAGAGATCTGGGACAGTATCACCCATCTGAGCAGCGACATCAGCACAGTCGTAGGTACGTCACCAGAGGCCTGTGCCTGTGTTACAGACTAACCTGTGTTACAGACTAACCTGTTACAGTGTAATAAGGAATGTAACTTTTTCAGATGAAATCATCGAAGTAATGTAACATATTACATTTCATTACTTTTTGATACTTTTGTAACAAATATTGCTAAACGCTGGCAATAAAGCTAAAAGCTGAGAAGTTTGTCCCAACGGCTTTGCTGACCCATGTTGTCTGGAAATATGCCAAAAGAAGCCATTTCTGCACAGTAAAAAGACACAGAGCAACAAAATGAATGGTGTAATCTATACATAAGCTTTGTATCAGAAAGAATATATTCAGAAACCCGTTTGTAATCACCAACATTTTCATTAATAACTGTAATTTAGTTACATGTTTTTCCTCAGTAACTGTAACATATTACAGTTATTTACATTTATTACACGCTATTACATATAACCAGTTACTCTCCAGCACTGCCCGAGGCTACATGAATTTGTCATGGGTGCCCCGAACTCTGCAACCTATCATTGGCTTATACACCTGTCACTCCCCCTTCCCCCCAGATGGAATGAGGGTAGCGTTTACGGCGACGATGCGCCCCCCACTCTACCCTGAACGCTGTTTTGGCCCCTTCACCCGCAACGTGCCCATTCCCTACAGCATCATCACCCTCAATGACGGCAACGCATACAATCCTTCGTTGGGTAAGAGAGACCAGCGCAGGAAAAAGGAACGTCTTACCAGCATCCCTCCAGCTGAAACCACCGAGTCCTTTTAGAGTCATATATTAGACGAAGGATACTGTCTATTACTATGACAAGAGTGATCAGTGCTCTGAAATTGACTCTTAAATTACCATTCAAGTACCACACAATTTTTTTTTTTCACTTAAACCGACTGGTTTGATTTGCATCGCTACACTGGCTCCCGACAGCAATCCAGTCAAAATAATGATTATGTGGTAGGCATGATTAACACATAATTGAAGATTGTGTCACGGACAGCTATTTTAAATTGTTTGGAACTGTTCTTCAGCAGACCATTCAGTCCCAAAACTGTAACAAAAAATCCCTACTGCACATTCTATACTGTAACAATAATCTATTACTGTACATTCCAGCCCATACAGCCTGGGCCCATTTAGGTAACTGTATATATATATTTGCTTGTTTTTAAATTGTATTTCTCTGTCTGTGTCTTCATTCATGTCTCAAATTTAAATTGTTGGGTTGTCAATGTTTAAATAAGATATTTATATCCTACTTAACACAGATTTTCTTGTACTATGATCAAGTTTGAGGAAGCACTTCTTTACACAGCGTGTAGTTAGAGTATGGAACAGTCTTCCTGCTAGTGTAGTGGAAGCTAAAACCCTGGGTTCCTTTAAATCAGAGCTAGATAAGATTTTAACAACTCTGAGCTATTAGTTAAGTTCTCCCCAAACAAGCTTGATGGGCCGAATGGCCTCCTCTCTCTCCAACTCTGCCTTTACCTGTTGTTCTCCTCGTCGGTCTCCAGGCACCTTCACCGCGCAGCGGGCCGGCCTCTACTCCTTCGCCTTCACCGCCTACTCCGACATCGTGACGGCAGGGCTGAGGCTCTACCACATGGTGCAGCTGACGAAGAACGGCGAGGCCATGACGGGGGTGTGGGAAGACAACCGGGAGGACGCGGAAGACAGCGCCACCCAGACGGTCCTCCTGCAGCTGCAGCCCGGAGATCAGGTCTACGTCGAGCTTATGTCCGGGAGGTACATCTGCAACGACCACAACCAGCGCAACACCTTCTCCGGGTACCTGCTGTACGTCTTCTAGGAGCAGTCTGGCACCACCTAACACCAAGAAGCACATACTGATGCTGCTTGTTCCTGAATCAAAGACAGAGAATGAAACACTGAAGGACTGACAATATGTTATGTCATTCAAAGCAAAAAAAAAAAGACACGTTCATATTCTAGAATAACTCAGCCTAGGAAGGTTTCCTTAACCTTTAACAAGAACATTAAAATCACACAAAGGGCAAAACATTTCACCACAGATATGATTATACAATCAATGAAATACTCATGCTTACGGTAAATGATTCATTTTCACTAAGACTGTTCTCAACCCTGTTCGCCATAACTTTTCTTAGTGCTACCACTCAGCATGTATCTATATACAGTTTCTGTAATTGGCAAAATTGCAAAAATATTCCTAAGATAGATGCGCTTGGATTAAATGAAGGAAATGAGAGGGAATGGGTAGCAACGACCTGGTGTGTCATACCAAACCTGAACTACAATAAAGGTCATTTTTTTGTTGCAAGGATGAGTTTGTTAAATAGCTAAAAACAGACTTAAAATCTTTAACATCGTACGGTAGCACTTAATAATAATAAATGAGATGTATTGAATGAATTTCCACATTACCTTGAGAAAATCTTACTCATTCATTGCTACTTTTTTTTTTTAACTCCAATGATGTTTTAACATGGTTTGGATTCGGAACTGAGGTTTTGTGGGTTTCAATCCCAAACCTTCTGGGTCCAGTAATGTGTAGGAAAATGTTTTAGTTGATGTCAGTGCTAAAGCAGGCGTTACCAAACACAGATTCAATTTTCATTTATTCGCAGTAAAGCCTTAACAGTACAGGTTGGGCCTTTTCTTCTGAAGATAGTCAGACGGATTCATAGCAGACAGACACACAATTTGGTCACAAGTTTATTTCTTTATCCGCCGCATCACATAAACTCCTATTTTCTTTTCCTCTGAGCCACTTCTCTAGAAATGCGTAAAAGGACCAGTTTAAACATTTACTGCGACCAATATCTGCAGTGAACAGGGCTGACAGTCACATTCGAAGATCCAAATTAATTTTCTCTCTGGCTGTATCTTGCACAAATTCAAACTCAACAGACTTGCTAGATGACATCAGCACAAGCATGCAGAAAACATGTAAACATACTCAACAAGAATTCTGGTGGAGGTGCTGTAGCTGGAGCCGGCTGGGGTTAGGGTCACGGTTTATAGTCTGTTTGGAGAGACGAAGAGGAATAAACACAGGAATTCTTCTCATTCTTGTACCCAAACCAACCCCCCACCCCCCCTTCAGGCTCCGCCCAAGCTGTACCTAAGGAAAAGCCCAGATATGACGCGAATGCATGCCACCTCACAAACTAATACAACAACGAATAGACTCAGACTATGTGTAACTCACGACACGGGAAGCATAATCAAATAGCCCTCGCTCACGTATCTAGGGGAACCTTCCCCCGCAAGAAAGATCCAACGTATTCGACACATGCAAAGCACCTTTACGTCCAGCAGGGGGCGTGCCGGGCGCTATGCTTATGTAGTAATCAGACAGAGTGCAGAGAAACAAGGTTTCTCATCAACGAGTCCAGAGAAACTATCAGTTCTCACATCTCTGCTGCAGGCCAGGATTGACAGAAGAATGCAGGGGCCATTCAGGGTTAAGCAAATGCCTCTTAGTGCGAGTACAACATCACTTACACATGTCCGAATCTCATTGGACATGCCATCACTCTGTCGTCACAGGGATGCCTCAAGGGTCAGGCAGTGACATCATCATTATGCAGACAGAGGGGGCTGGCATAAAAAAACTGCCAATTCCTTACTTGGGAAGGTGTGAGTTTCTGGGGGGGCGTCTTCAGAAGCAAAAAAAACTGAATCAGGAAAGACAAGGTGTTACACTGCAGTGAAAAACACATATAGACTGACTGCAAATACAACAGATAAAAATAAGTAGAGAAAAAAAGAATAGAAATTCTGTGGCATGACAAATCTGGCAGTTATTTAAAAGTATATAAAAAACATAGCCGCAGCTAATTTAACAGCAGTGGAAAAAAGTAATAATTTAAATATAATAAAGAAATCATGGGACTTTAGACGCATCCAAAGAGCAGAGTTATGTGCAGGGGTAATGGCACCATCCATCGATATTCTATAACGTCATATAATTAAAATTCTATAACTAAAATTACAATTTAACCACAAAGAAATAGATAATGCGACTTGCCAAAGAAGCTGTTGACTGTGAGGGATAAACACACATTTTCAGCAGAAAAACAGTAGGGGGTTTTCTTGAAACATTCAAACAAAGTGTCGTTCATTGTTTTCCTCTAATCCTTATTGGGGGAAAGGGCACACACACAGATGCATTTATTATTATTATTTTTTTTACAAAATCAGATCAGGGAAAACCCTTATCCCAACAACCACAGGCATCTGTATAAACCCGTGTTTCCTAATCCGGTCCTCGGGGACCCACAGGCAGCCCATGTTTTTGCTCCCTCCCAGCTCCCTAGGGAGCAAAAATGTGGGCTGTCTGGCAGGGAACCTGGATGGAGCAAAAATATGGACCGGCTGTGGGTCCCCAAGGACCGGGTTGGGAAGCACAGGTTTAAACAACAATAAGGGAGGAAATAAGGGAGCAGCATTCTAAACACACTAATTTACTTGCTCCATCTCATTGCACTGTCAGATATATGATTTATGGTACATATATATATATGGGGCAGCATGTGGCTCAGTGGGCTAAGCATGTGTGCCTATAATTGCAAGATCACCGGTTCAAACCCAGCCTCAGCACATCTGCAGGTCCTTGAGGTTGGAGGGTGCCCCAGCAGGTGGCTGCCCTTTGTGGAGAGCTTGTTCTACAAAGAGCAAGTTGAGGGAGGCATAAAAAGAATTTCCCCATGAGGGACAATAAAGGATTAAACATCCATCCATCTTCTAGATGCTTCTCCTGTATTGGTCACAGGGATTCCTGGTGCCTATCCTAGGCAACATAAAGCAGAAGGCTGGGGTATACCCTAGATGGGATATGAGCTCACTATATACTGTATATAGTCAGCAAGTACATATGGCGATGGTCAGGGGCCCAGCCCAAGGTGCCCCATGCCTCATGCCTTGTGTTTCCTGCAATAGGTGCCACATTCACCACAACCCTAGTAGGTGGATGGATGGAAAATACTTTGACCCTTTAATTCCTATAATTTGGTGCTAATTTGCAACACAATTAAAATGCATTACAATTACGATTGCACAGTTACAGCGGCACTCTGCTAATACAATTCACCTTCCAGTGGCATTTCTTCTAGTGCCATTGCCATTGAACCAAGCTGCAGGAAGATATAAACAGCGCAAAGCAGCCAACTGTGCAAAACTCACAAGCATAGCGTTCAACAACAAAGCAACTATTTTAAACATCTAACCATTCACCCACCCGGAAACTGCACAGAGCCTGGAGCTTATCTCAGGAAACAGCGGACACCGTGCAGGGGAACACCACAGATGGTAGAGGACGGTGCACACTCACACACCATTACACTCACTGTAATTTAGAGACACCTATAAGTTGTGGACTGAGAAGGAAACCCAAGAAATATGTGAGGAACATCTTACATATATACAGTACAGGGCAAGTGTCTTAGGCAGTCAAAGGAAATGTTTAAAACTTTATCTGGGTGGTAACTGCATATTTACTCTGAACAAAAACACAAATTAACATTAGAACATATGTAAATTAAGAGCGACGTGATTAAAAAAAAGAAACTTTCAGGAATTTCTTCTGTTCTCGAAAAAGTCACTGATATCATGGATGACTATGACTAGCTTCTCCTCAGGGGCACCTCAGACATTCCATGAAATTGTGTGTTCATCAGCAGCTGCTCACTTGACTAATCAATTAAAATAGTTCAAAGAATTAGTTATTGATCAGTCATACAAGGGATGTTAATGGTCCAGACAACATGGCCATATTGAAGTATTGAATGGTTGCAGCCAATACTAGAGTGGCTTTCAGAGGGGGTTAGAAATGATTAACTGACACACTTTAAGAGACACAATGTCATATTTTTACACCAACAAGAAGATCATTATCTTTCACAGCCTATGACTTTTGACACAGTATGTATTTGGCAAACGTTAGTAGGATGATTTGAAATAGCGGAAAGGCTATATAACATTCTCATGTTGTTTATTATTACTCATTTATTGCAATTGGCATTTTGGTTCGCAGTCGTAGCTTCCAATAAGAACTTTATAGCCACTACAGAATTAATGTTTTGACCCAAGCACTGGCATCAAGCTATAACAAACCAGCCTTTGAATTTCTGGGCGTGGTTCAGAGGAAGAGTAAGGAGTGGGGTGGGGGTGGGGGGGGGGAGAAGGAGGAAATAAAGCAGACACAGGGTGGGGGTGGAGGGGTAAAGCTGAAAATGCTCACAAATATGGCACTGGACTCTGGAGGTAGCGGTCATCCTTAGGGAATTTCTAACAGGCAGTGACACGCACTGCGCGTCTCTCCCTCTCACTGTCATATACACACAAGCACACGCTGAGACGCAGGCCGTCCTGGACATAAAAGGGCCGACTTAGTGCTGGGACAAGTTACCGTGCTCATTCATCACGACCAGCTCGCTCTCTCTGCTCCCATCTTACAAACCTCCCTGCTCATTTTCTCCTCGACTGTTTCACATCTCAGCCCCTCGAAAGTTCGCCAAGGTTCTTCATATGATCATTAGCAATAGCTGATTTTAATTAATATGTCGGTTGATATAAATGTAATATGCAAGCAAATGTTAACCAGAATGAAGCTTAACCAGCTGAACAAATAACCTACTGATTTGCAGAAGAAACAAATACTATAATCAATGTATGTTACCACATAGAGTACTGTGCAAAAGTCTTAGTCAGTCAAAGGAAATGCTTAAAGCTATTTATCTGGGTAGCAAGTGCAATGTCCTCAGAACACAATTTACATTACAAAACATGCAAATTTAGAATGACACGATACAAACTACCAGACATTTCTTCTATTCTGTTCTCCTAGATGATCATTTAAACATTATTTCTCTTGACTGCCTAAGACTTCTGCACAGTACTGTAGGTGAATTACACACACAGACACACACACACACACACACACACACACACACACGTGCAATATGGAAAAGAGCTGAACAGATGTAATGGCAGTTTTATGCTCATCAATATCCCCCAACAATCTTTCCAGGTCTTTCCCCAAAAGCCATCCATCCCTCCCCCTCTCTCTCCTGCAGACGAAGTGGTACAATGAGGTATTTGGAAAATGCGTCAAGTTGACCAAAGCGAGCCTTTTGGCTCTGTGCTGCTAACTTCCCGTCCTCTTCCCAAATAAGGAGTCACTTTTTAACAGGGAGGAAAAAAAGGGGGAGACAGGCTGAATGTAGAGGAATAGGTAGACAGAAGGAGGGACAGAGGAGAGAGAGAAGGCGGGGGGGACAAACAGGGGGAGGCCTTGCCCTTTTAAGGCTGTAATTTCCTTTCTCTCTCTCTCTTTCCAGACAAACTCAGTGCGGTGAAGTCATTTTAGCTCATCTGCACTTTTTAAATCGGCACTCCTACAGGGAGGACTCTGCACTCAGCTTGGAGCCAGCGCGAGCATAACCAGCGAACTTGCACACGTCCGACCGAGCCTCCACCCGCCTGTGGTCCACGCCCTCAACCTTTCACTCTTCCTCCACAAAAGTGAGTACGCGCCATCGCTCGGGCTCCGCCGGCCACAACGGTGTGGGAAAGAGAGATCCCACGCAAGCTGCGACACGTTGGGTTCAGATTGTATCAGATTGACAGATTTGTAGTGTTACCTCTTTCCAGGTAACTGGACTAACTGTCAGGGCTAGCAGAAGGGCGTCGCTTTCAGTCTACAAACTGTTAAAGATAGAGCTTCCTCCTAGTGCGTAGTAGAGGTGCAATTCACTTCCACATCCATAGTCATTTGCTGAACTTGTGTTTTGTCTTGAGTATGTATGTAACTATATCTTTGATGATACCTGCTGCTCAATCCGTCATTTGGTGTATTTTTCTGTTAAGATACTTGTTTACATAGATATGTGGATGTGGTGGTTGGTAGGTATATCTGGTGTGGAGATTTCCGTTATTGTGGCTTTGTTGGTTTGACACAAGATGGACGCTGCTGGCGTGTGAACCTTAACTAACAAACATGCCAAAGGAACCCTTGTCAGCAGGATTATTGGGTCATGCAATGTAATGCCATAAATGGTCTGTTAATTACACATCTTTGGTTCTTTCCCAAGGCAGACACTACTGAGTATGACAAATAAAGGCAGACACACACACACACAGAGAAAAGAACAATGAAATTGAAAAATAAAGGCACCCACGGACACAAACATGTATTCTTATTTACAAGTACAAAGGCAAGGAAATCAACACAATAGACCTCTCAGTTTTGAAAACCTGCTGTTATCTTATCTAACGGTTCTCTTAGGCGCCAAAGAAGAGACAGCAGAATTGGATCTAGCTTCTAGCAATGAGTGGCCACATGTAACAACGTCCACAGCAAAAGGCAGAGGAACATGGTTTTTGATGTCAGCCTGAAGCCCGGGACTGCTGTCAGCTCCATTTGCATTTGTGACAAGCTCATGAGTTTCCTGAGTTTGACTGCTCTGTTACAGCCACTGAACCTCTGACACGCAAAGAATGTGCAGTAAAACAATGTATTTGGAGAATTTCCTGAAAATAGAGGGTGTTTCAGTTACCATGAAACATCTTGTTCTCACTCAGAAGAATGTTGCACCAGGTACTCCTCCCCACCAGCCATCCATCAGACACGAGGTGAAACCTTTGCTTTGTTCATTGGTTGATTCATTCCTATGAGACATATTCCTCCATCAAGTCTAATTCAGGGACAGAGAGACAGACGGAGTACGAGGCCAATTTAACCTCACACCTCAATTTCCTCTGCCCTTGACTTGCTGGTGTAACTTCTACAACTTCTGATGCCATCCCAGAGACTGGGGCGAGGCCAAAACCAACAAGAGATTAGCTATCTCAAACACGTCTAAATGCCCACTGTGGCCTTGGGCCCAGCTCCCGCTGAGTGGCAGGTCCACCAAGGAGATCGTTAGCATAACGCAGCCGTGACAGCAGCCGTAGCTGGTCCATGCAGATTATTACTACACGTCACCAGAAGGTACACAGCTTCCGAACACCAACTGATATGCAGTGACGCCTGCAGTGATTTAAGGGTATGACTGTAATTCTGATGGCAGAGACTTGGGGCCCAGTAAAGTTCCGTTGACCCATAGAGCCTCACTGTGCTGCTCCAGCTGTGTCATACTGCCACTGATGTTACTGAGCAGCTACGAGCGCAGAAGCTGCTTCCTGCACCCTAACAGCAGCTCTGACAAACAGCTGGCTGTTCTGCGAAGGGGAGGGAGGGGGGGGGGGGGGGGGGGGGGGGGGGTTGTAAAACAATTGGCGACAAGCGTGGGCTGGAAAAGTAATAGGATCTGCCTGCGATGCCCTGACCTGCACGGCGAGTTTTGTGCAAAGAATACCATGTTTTGATCAGAGATGGAAATTTCAGGCCCAGAAAGTAAAAATTCAGACCATGATTTTGCTTCAACCAAAAAGCTGAGTACTCTGTAACTGTAATTCTTTATATGCAACTGGTTGGTTGAAAGTAAATCAAGGTCTGGATTTTTACTTTCTGGACCTGGATTGTTAAGGGAATAGTGGCAGATATGTCAGCCCAAAGAATTTAAGCAGATGGCTGTTCTTTGTGTTGGGTCTTACTCTCTCTCTGTCAGAGCTGTAAAGCCTGTGTCTCTGGAAGTAAATTCTTTGCTAATGATGTGATGTTGGATGATAGGGCGTGTGTGGGGGATGGGGGGTAGATCGGGGAGGATACTGCTTAGGGCAGCGGCTCAGTGGATGGCGTAATCCACTGAACAACAGGAAGTGGGGCTGAGACACAAGAACAGGGCGATGCCAGAAGCCACGCCGGGAAAGAGGAGCACCACACAGTGGAGAGGGTGGAGTGTAAAGATGGGCGTTTTTTTTTTGTTTGATTATTAGCTCTCAGAGGATTTTAAAGGGCTGTTAATTCAAACTGCAGGTTTGGGCTGGGTTACTGTTTCACCGTAATGGGCAGTCAGTGCGTTCACAAGTCACCGGTTACGGACATTATATCCCTAAGAGTTCATGTGTGGGTTCTTCCTTAGAAATGACAGACTGTGAGTAATGTGCACGTAAAGTCCTGGGTCAACAATTCCCTTTACACATTGCTACCAACCCAAGTTTGTTTCACAGCCTTGTTAATCCAATTATCCAGCCATGTTAACAAATACTAGAAAATTCAACTCCACCTAGTTTAAAAAAATTAAAGGCCATACATATGTTTTCTGTGCACATTTACAAGAAAGTTCTGCAGTTAAGTCGACAAATAAGCACATGAAAATTCAAAGAGCACATTTCAGAGAGCGTTATCGCCCCTAAAACAGGATGTTGTTGGAGGTTGCTATGAAACACCTTTTCAAAGGAAGACAATAATCACACATAGCAAGAAACATAAGTCAGAGTGGTGCCACCCATGTTTATACGCAGAACGCTTCATTTGGCTTCTAAGGAACTGATTAGAAACTGAGCGAAGAAAAGGACAAGGCTGGATTCAAGTTTGGTTCCAAATTTCCCCTGCAGAAAGTATTCAAACTTACAACCGCATAAAAGAAAATATCTCAGGATTTTTGCCAGTTGACAGCTGTCACTGAAATGCTTCAGTGGGTGACATGACATCACTGGAGGAGAAGGAGAGACGTACATTGACTAAAGAGTGGGAGGCAGCCTGTGTTCAGGGAGTGTGGGATCATGTGACAGCTTCGAAAGGCTGAAGGCAGCATTTCCAGAGCCATGCAGCATAGCATTTGTGTGCAGCATGTTTCAGCTTCATCTCATGACCGAGCAATGGTGGCGGAAATTATAACCTTTGACCCCCGACTTCCCCCTCAGGTCCAGAAAGTCGTGGTGTATTGACGTCAAGATGGCCCAGGTGACAGCGGTGCCGGGATCTGTGTGTGTGTGTGTGTGTGTGTGTGCGTGTGCGTTTGTGTGTGTATGCCTTCCACTGACCCTCGCGTTAGCTGACGGAGGTGTTGGTCTGTGTGCCTGACCTCCCGTCACGCAGAACACTGAACCACCCGCCTACCTCAAAACCTCTAGATGGCCTGAACTGAATTACAACCAAACACTTCTGGCCATCTAAGCTATTTCCTCTATTCACTCAGCGACAGAGAGGCTGGTGAAGCACTATGCACTTTCCACACGTGTGGCCCATGCATGTGGTCCCATATCTGGCATGCAAGAGCATGATTTAAAGAGCTATTCATTACTGTGGCTTCCAACTGTAAACATATTATAAAATTTAATGTGTGGCAGGATTATACATGGAACGGATAGGCATTCAACAAATGCAGCTTATGCTGATTAAACAGCGATGGAATTGAAAGCAATTACTGGTCCATTTTACATTTTAAGTCAGCGTAAAATATTTTCAGATAAGACTAAAGGTAAATAACCATATAAAAAATGAGTTTGCACCCTTGGTACATAGAGACCAATCCGTTTGACCTTTAATGACTTTAATGACAGTTAACCAAATATAACTATAGAAAATTCACTCATTCATGACTCAGACTTTGCTAAAATCCACACCTTGTCATATAGCAGGAAGCATGAACTTTGGCCACCAAACACAAACAAGCATGTGACACAGATCGGGAGACTCCCAGCAGGCAAAGCAGCTGAACACCTTTGCATAGCTATATTATTGTAATTCGTCAGAGGAAAAGAGAACGGAAAGTTTGCCAGCTTGGTTGCGGATGCGGCTCTCACCAGGCATGTGGTTTTTCTGATAGCATGAATTGACGTGTCCCACCAAAGAGCATTACAGTCAGTCCTGGAGGGCAAGGGTCACAGCAGGGCTTCTCAGTGTCTGCTAAAAAAAAATAAACAAATAAATAAATAAAAGTGATTAGATTTGGTTCTCTGGGATAAGCCTGTGAATGTTTCGGGGCCTCCAGTACTGACTTTTTATGCAAGCGATGCAGATCACCTGCCATGTTTGAGCCAATGAAAATGTTTCAATTCTTGTTTTTGTTTTTTTAACCCTTCCCCGAACTCGCTGAACCGACAGCCAGCACCAACCATGGCTAACAAAGGTCCCTCCTACGGCCTGAGCCGCGAGGTACAAGGAAAGATAGACAAGAAGTACGACCCAGAGCTGGAAGAGCGGCTGGCGCAATGGATCATAGCCCAGTGCGGGAGCGGGGTGGGTCAACCAGAGCCTGGGAAGACTGGTTTCCAGACCTGGCTAAAGGATGGCTGCGTAAGTAGCAAGTGACTGTTGAGGCACCACATAACAACTGAATCCCAGTTCCTTGAAATTCCAATTTGCACTTATCATCATGATTAATGATAGAGATGTGGCCTTTCCTCAGTGTGCTGCCTGTGACACAGTAAGAACACAGTGGCTCATTACTCCACCTATGCAAATAATTACCAGCTTTATCGCTAACATTTGCTCTCCCCAATGTGTGCAAATGAGTCCGTCTCTCTCATTCTCACCGCACCACACCTACCTGCTTCCTCCCAGGTGCTGGCTGAGCTGATTAACAGCCTGTACCCCGGTGACAAGCCCATCAAGAAGATCCAGAGCTCAGGCATGGCCTTCAAGCAGATGGAGCAGGTGTCTCAGTTCCTGGCTGCAGCGGAGCGTTATGGTGTCACCAAGACCGACATGTTCCAGACTGTGGACCTCTGGGAGGGTGAGCGGGCGTCAAGCACAACTTTGAGTTCTCTAGGCCAGAGTTTCCCAACCCAGTCCTCGGGGAACCCCGGACAGTCCACATTTTTTGCTTCCTCTCAGCTCCCAGTGCACCTCTACCAAGTATTCGGTGTTCCTGATTGGCTGGGAGCTGGGAGAGAGCAAAAACGTGGACCGAGGACTAGGTTGGGAAACACTGCTCTAGGCATTCACTCCAGAACCGGCAAAATACTGTTTTCCCAGAAATCCTTGGTATTGGAAATTCACAGTTATTTTGCTGTCATCCCTGATCGCAGGGAAGGACTTGGCAGCGGTTCAGAGGACCCTGGTGGCACTGGGCAGCCTGGCAATTACTAAGGACGATGGCACTTACCGTGGCGACCCCAGCTGGTTCCACAAGTGAGTCATACACCATTCATGTCTTAGATATGGCAACTACATTGCACTACGAAATGCCAACATATGAGTTAACATAGCCGTCTCGAACTCTGGTCTGATGTCCAATGTCACATTTATAAGTTCCCAATAACCACAACTGGTTGTCATCACAGAAGTCACAATTGTGTCAACAAAACAGGAAAGGTTGCATGATTTTAGGTGTGTCAGACAAGCCCAGCAGTCTACTCTACGATGTCCCTGCTGAAGGAAAAATACCAAATGTTAGCGGTTTAACGACTTCAAATCAGTGCTCTCATAACTTGAACTCAACTACAATATCTTTCACTTATGCTTGGCAGAAAAGCCCAGGAGAACCGACGGGATTTCAGTGAGGATCAGCTGAAGGAGGGCAAGAATGTCATCGGATTGCAGATGGGCTCCAATAAAGGAGCATCTCAGGCCGGCATGACGGGGTACGGCCGACCCCGACAGATCCACAACTGAGCCTCCTCACCACCTCCCAGCAGCCCCTCCCCCATCGGCCCTGCCCCTTGCTCCTCCCCTCGACCAATCAAAGATTGGAGCAACTCCACACGTTCAGTCTTAACAAATTGGACTGGCTCCTCGAGAACTTTGTGAAGACCAGAAGAAACAGTGAGCGAATAATCCACGAGAAAAGCTGACCAAACTGCCAACCTGTCAAGAAGAAACACACTATGCAAGGATAATGACGACTACACCATATTTCCCCATCTACATAGTCAACCATACATTTAAATATGTAAATGTTTTTGCAAATCTTAGTGTACACTGTAAATTAAAGCCTTAATTCCAAGTAGCCAGAACACTGCATGCGTTTCTATTATAAAACATCCTCGTCTTGTATCAAGTTGAAGTTCAGTCAATCGCAGCACTGACACGGATGACCACGTTCACCGCCATGAAGGTCACCATGCAGGTGCTGCTTGTGCCAAATTTACACTCCGCGGCTTGGCCCTGAGACACAGGTCTGCTTCCTTCTATCAAATGCGAGAGGGCTACTGGGAAAGTGAGCACAGCTCTTTCCCTCCAGAGATCCCGGCCGTGGCCATTAGCTGTCCCCACTAATGCAGAGTGTTTTTGTACATCGTAACTGAAAGCAATTTTGAAATAAAGATCAAGATTAATTTTAAAATTAGTCTGAATGCCTGTGTTTTCAGGGGATATTTCGATTATTCCATCACCGGGCCAGTCCTTTTTGTTGCTTGAGAGGATCTGCCTTGCCGAGACACACGCTGCAGTCACTGCTGCAAAAACGGGAGATCGGTAATCTGACACACCATCAAAATGGGGAAAACATTCAGTTCAGAAAGGTTTCGAAGACGCAGTCAGTCCCAGAACTTCCCCTGACCGCCGAAAACTTTCCGATTTCATGGGGAATATTTTACTGTGATATAATATACTGATTTAAACTGCCAAAGTGGGCTTGGGGATGCTTGAATGCACGTGCTGTGGATTCACCTAGAACACCACCTTTCCTTCAGCGATTCATGAACCGGCTCAGCTGGGGCACAAACGCGTAAGTCCATCACCAGAGCACAGCCTGTTAATATGGCCAGAAAAGAGAAACATGTACTGAGAAAGATGCCGTTCAGGAAAGAAAAGGTGGGTGAAAGGCAGAGATTCTGGGCTGACGCCCTTTATTGAAATCTACTCAGACCAGCTGTGAAGCACATAAGAAATGCAAAGTTTGAATCCTCACTAACAGAGAGCAGCAGACGCCAATACCAAAAAAATCGAATATGGTTTTGGAGGGAATTCTGTGTTATAATTCAAATACAATTGCAAAAACAGGACAGACTGTACCATGTTTTAGTCAGTCAGTCACACAACTGCTTCAAGTAGCGAGATGACTGAGAGCCTGCAGTCGGCACGTAACAGTCCCACACATTCCAGTCGCGCTCATATTCCATGAAGAAACTCCTGAAACATGATACAGTGGTTTTGAACCTAAACTATTCGCCATGCTTTCCTTCCACACACATAGTACATTCATACAGCAAAAAACAAAACCAAAAAAAAAAAACAAACATTCATGCACATGTGCAAAAAGGAGTTGTTGGTGTTACATTACTATGCATACTAACTCCCCATTATAAACATCAGAGCGACCTCCCAACCTTCCCAGTACACTGGGGGAATATGATTGGGTGGCCTCTGTTGGTTTGTCTGCTGGCTTCCCTTACGCTTAACGACCCCCCCCCAGAGCCATGATGCGCTCGCCACCCTAGACTGAGGAACATATTCTGGCATGACTGCATTTCCCATAAAGCCTGGCAGCAATGAGGCTCTATGGGAAACGGAGTGTTCGCCCAGCACTGGACAACAGCAATGAAGGGTTAAAAGTCACAGTGATCCCCGGTGAAGGAGCGGCATGCTCCAGCAGAGAGAGAGAGACCCACTGAGGTCATCGAAAAGATCTGGGGATCCCATGTCGTGTGTTTATGCTGCACTTGTTCAAGTGGCCCAGTTCATCCAGGCAAAGGCACATCTCTAACACCCTCTTCAGACTTCCTCTGTACCAGTACAGGAGATCCTGGTCCTCGCAGATACACAGACTTCCCCTACGTGCAGGAGAAGGGCCTGGAGGGGTAGGACTACGTGGAAGAGTGTCTGCCCATGATGGGCTCCTTGTCCTCCGGGGCCAGCATGCTGCCCACCTCCAGCTCGTCCCCCTCCTCGATGTTGCTGTGGCCCCGCCGTCGCCGGCAGAGCCCCCGCGAGTCCACGTGGAACAGGGTGACCTCCAGCATGTAGTAGAGCGAGGCGAAGAGGGCCAGGCAACCCAGGAGCAGCAGAGACTGTGTCCGCGCCAACAGGAAGAACCAGGAGGGAAGGAAGGGGAAGAGGGAACGGGACAGCAGAAACAAAAGGACAATGGATGAAGGGAGCCAGCACCGGTACTGACCTCAGCACACGTAATATGTCGCTTAATTAACTTTTGGGCAAGAAAAGCACTCGGAGCGACGTGTAGGACATCTGAGAAACCGACCTTTAGGATGTTGGAGGTCAACGGGCTGAAGCTTTCGGGGGGGATGTCCAGGCCGGGGGGGCAGGGCAGAGAGAAACTGCTGTTCAGGTACTGGCCCCCCATGGCGTCTTCCACCACCCTGCCAAACAGCGCATACCGGTTACACAGGCTTTTGCGGGAGCGATCGGCAAGCAGAATTTACGTTGACGGAGCCGCCGTACCTCTGTCTGGCCTTCACCTCGTCGAAGGACATCGAGGAGCCGTAGAGGATGAGCTTCCACTGGTTCAGGACACCTATATTCAGAGCGCCCTGTCCTGAGCCACAGAACAACAGAATGCAGTCGGAACAGCGCCCCCTACAGGGCTACCACAAACATCTTTAAAAAAAAAAACAAAAAAAGTGGAAAGAAACCATATCTTTATTAATGCTACTAAGGGGCAACAACTACTAGCAGAAATGTATAGACTGTGGAGACCACCAATGAGAATCCTTGAGGGTTTTCTTAGCAAATTCTAGTTTGGACTAATTTGAAGATACATAAGGTGCAGAGAAAATGGATGGGTGTCTTACTGTAGTCAGTAAGCTGCAGGCTGTACACGCCCTCTGCCCTCTCGCCCCAGCAGCGCACCGTGGAGAAGGTCCAGTCATTGTAGCCTGAGGGGTCACTACGCGTCGTAATAAAGAACAGTTACAAACACCGTTCCAAAACATCTCCCTTACTTGTCTCAACAGGCAGCACCAAACAGACAAGCAAACAGTTCGTAGTGACATCATTTTTTGATGCAATCTTTCCCTGCACAGGAAATTCTAATTACCATGGAGGACTTTTCATCCATGCCAATTTAATGTTACCAACAACTGCTTGTGTCATCTATACTTTTTTTGAGATTATTTTCCTTTTTTGAGATTATATTGCCTTTCTGGGGGTGTAATATTTTATGACATTCTGGGGTTTTCCAGTTCTCTTTAGGACAGTGTTTCACATCCCAACCCTTGGGAACCCCCAGATTTTTGCACCCTCCATATTTTTGCTCCCTATCCGCTTCCAAAATATACCTGACACAAGTGTTCAGTGTTTTGATTGCTTGGATCAGGTGTGCTGGGAGGTGGGAGTGAGCAAAAATGTGGACTGTCGGGGGGGGGGGGGGGGGTCCCAAGGACACTGCATTAGGAAAATTATAAAATACCACAATGTTGTTTGTAAACTAAATCGAAACAAGCTACACCAATGTCAAGGACTGATGTCATGCCAGCATGTCAGCAGAGACTGGGAGGCCCTTACACGTCCATGCTGCGGTGAGCCCCGATGACTGAGGTCATCCCGCTGGGGCAGATGAGCGTGATCTCCACGTTTCCACGGCGAGGGTGGCTCACTGTCACGGCAACAGACACGTGCTCCAGAGTCTGCATTCCGGACTCCAGCAGATCGGCTGCCGTAACTGGATGGTACATATACATATATGGTACATATAACATCACACCTTCAGTGCACGGGGGATCTACCAACCAAAAGGGAACAGATACTTCCGTTTGCCATGGTAACAGAAACACGCTCACTCATGCACACACACACCCATAACTGTGCACCTGCAGGAAGCACATGAGACACGACCAGCTGTGATCTGACTGTCCTGACTCAGCACCCCCCTGCCACCCCCCCCTGCACACTTTGCACCAGGACCCTCTAATTCAGAGGCATTTCCTCATCTGTTTCTTGTCATTGCAGCTTTGCACTACATTTCCTTATAGGGAAGAACGGCTCCCGTCAGGGATGCAGACGGGGGTGGGGGCGGGGGGGGTATTGAGAGGGTTGTACTCTTCCCACACCCCAGTGTGATCAGCAGCATCGTAAAAAGCTCACAGGGCATCACAGCGTAACAACGTAACAGCAGTGAAAGTGAGGCCGGCTCGTGAAGGATCGTTTTGGTCCCATCGGAAGAGCGTAGTTTGGGGCGTGTTCAATCTTCACGATAATCGAATAGGAACGATCCAGGGACATCGAGGGGCATTTAAATAAATATGAATCTTAATACAGCTGCAGGCAGTAAAAGTGGGCCTTGCTTGTGCAGAAAGCTTGTCATGTAAAAGTGCAGAGTTCAGAGTAATCGTCATAATACAGTGTATGTGGCCACCATCAGTCTTCTGAATTTTACAAGGCCGCTGAAGATTGGCTGGTTTTATCCATAGATTGGAAAATCAACTATGTTAAGAGACCTTCCTCAGAGCTTCACCCTAGGTGCCTGCGACCTGATCATGCAAATGTCCTTAGTGCCAAGTTCTGGATTTTCATGGCCAATAAGCTGTGAAGTTTAGTAAATCTTTACCGTGGCTTCTTTTGAGTTCATTCTCCATCATTTTCCCCACCGAATCTGATCAGCAGCGTGCAGAGACACATTTTCACTGGCTTTAGAGATATTTGAGAAAGGTACTTGCATGGCAAATGAAGAATACTTAAGAGGAGAAGCCTTTAAACATTTGGAAATAACATGAAAACAATGCATAACTCACAAAAGTTTGGAACCTAGATTATGTTTGGAACCTAATTATGTAAAAATGCAAAAGAATGTAGCTTTTCTTTTACAGCTACACGTACTTCAGTACGTTAAGATTATAACCAAATTCTAACCAAAATGAGGCAAATCCTACATAAACCTTACAGCACTAAGCACTGAATTTATGTGCTGCGAATATCTGATGGTGCACGGCGTTCAGAAATCGTGCTGCGACACGTCTTGCATATGCGTCTGCGGGAACGGCTGAGAAAACAGGCCGAACGGGGTGTGTTTGGACTGCACCTCTGTCACGCAGGTGCACGACGGATCTATGGAGGACCCACTGGGGACCCCAACATACTGGGACTCAGATCATGTCCTCCCAAACGCTGTTAGACACCACCAGTGTCTCAGATATTTTAATGACTGTTTTTCTTTCCAGGCTGAACTTGCTCCTTATCTTCAGGATTTACGACTCCCAGGGTAAAACACAGAGCCCTGCCTGTTTACTTGGGAAGGAAGCACTGAAGGCCTGTTACCAGGGAAGTGCATTGCACAAACTTCTGTCTCTCAATGGGCAATAAAAAAAAAAAACAACAATCACAATCGTTACATATTCCCAGCTGCTTTAAATTGCTTACATCCTAAAACAAAAGTTGGCAAAGTTTCATCATTTTTTCGGTCTATCTTTGCCCCTAAGCATTAAAAACATTTGCTCTTTGCCCAGCTAAAGATAATTATAGATATTAGCTCACACACATAAATATCTTAAAAATATTTGACGTTCTTTTTTTGCTTGTGACAATGTTACGGGTTTAGCAGGACATGTGGAGTATAACCGCAAAGCTGCAGGCTTTGCCTGAATGGAAAGTGACCGGCTCAGTTGCCAGGGCGACTGCAGCAGGGCCTTCGGAAAGCAGAAGTCTGAATTAAACATGAAATGAAGCAGGAAAGGAGAAGGAAAAGCAGGAATGTGTCGTACTCCGTCACTTTCAGTTTTTCACCAAGTTCGAGCTTGGCGGCGTGTTCCCCTTTGGGAGAAGTTGGCACGGCCCGGGCCCAGGCTCCGCCCACCAGAGAGCACAGTCGCTGTCGGACTCTATCTTGGCAGAGCTGGAGCCCCTTTGTTCAAGCCGCCGCGCCGCTGTGGCCTCGACGGCGAGGTTACATGTTAGCGGCGAGCGGGAGGCGCGGAAGCCGGCGATAAGGGAGCCTACGAGCGAAAGGGGGAGGAGCGACGCCGAGAGATCGCAGTACCCCCCCCCCCCCCCCACCACCACCGGGACGCATCCACCTCCTTGCGAAAGGCTGCCCCAGTCTCCTCGTGTGAGAAATGGCAAGGGTGTCCTCAGCTTGAACTTCCAGGCCGGAACATGGGGAGGGAAGAACAGGAGCAAAACGAAAAACAGCCAGGAGGAGCACTAGGAGCACTAGGGGCACTAGGGGCACGAGCTCCTATGTCCTTTGCCTGAAATGTGCCACTGATATCTGTGACCTAATGCTCTGCTACGTCTGAACTTTTTTTTAACGTCCCAATGAATGCAAGCAAAGCTAAACTTGAGTTGTAGTGAAGCCAAAGTGGGTGAGTAAGACAGAGAGAGAGAGAGAGAGAGAGAGAGAGACATACACAACACAGAGAACAAGAAACATTGCCTAAAAAGGAAAGATCTGAGTGAGGCTGGCTGGGAGGGACCGCCTACTCCAGCCTTCACTCAGCAGCTACAGGCACACGCATCACCACACCCAGGCACAGAGCGGGCAGGAGAAACTGCAGAGCCCCTGCCCCCAGCCCTGCTCACCATTCCAGGTAACGGTGCTCACGAGGGGGTGGGCATGGATAGTCCGCTCCTCCCTCAGCACCGGGCTCTGATACGACACCAGGAACGGAACAGACTCCCACACCTACAACACCGGCAGAGTTGGGGGGGGGGGGATTAATTCTCCATATCAATTAGCGGGTGACCTTACCTAAAAAGTTGTGGGGCGAGGCGGACCCTGGCTGAGCCGCTGTCATGCATTTTGGACGTGCCGTTGGTGGGGGGGCGGATACCTTGGCCGCGTTGACCAGCCTCCAGGCGTTCAGCAGCCCAAAGCCGTGAAGGTGACTGTGCCTAAAACCAGCACTGTTCGCCATCCAGTCCGCCTCCTTGTCTTCATACTGCGGCCACGTGGACGGGAAGCCGGACACGTGCGGGAAAACGGGCCGATGGATTAGCCAGAGAGTAACAGAGTACCAAGAACAGCCCTTCAGTGTTATCGAAACATGTCAAGTGTATTAGAAAGTGCGAACAGCTCACGTCAGAGCCAGTAGGAACACCTAATACCGTGCTCTCACAGCCGATCGCTCTTATCTCAGCTCCTAAAACATGCCCCTATTAATCAGAACTCCTACTAGGTAACACATGTCTCCGGCCCAGAGCTGCTGGGAGTTTGAAGAATACATTCTGATTAGTACGTCGCTGTGAGCAGAAACTCCAGATGTTATTCTCATAAGGCAGATCCGAGGCTGAAAACCCTTAAGGAGACGGGCTGTGTTTTGCTTAAGCCTCATCCTTTTCATACGTCATTTAACGCCTAAATATTCAACTTGGTCCACCTTCTCAGTCTGGGCTGAAATACACTCACATTAACCACCCTCAGTCTAACTCCACCCACAGTCATAATGACCTATCAGCATCCAGCCTCCACCCAGGGAAATTTCAGAATCCCCGCCCATTTCCCCCCTTACCTTGGTGGCAGTGTAGGCTATTATGTGCTGAACGTCCCTCCACGTCAGGCAGGGCCGCACCTGCAGCATCAGCGCCACCATGCCAGCGGCCAGCGGGGCGGCGGCCGAGGTGCCCGTGTGACCCTCTGTGCAGCCCGTGCCCTGCTGCATCGACCAATCGGAGGTCACCTACGCCCACGGAGAGAAATCTTGCTGTAAAGTGTCACCAATGATGATGATGATGATGGCATAGAGCAGGTTATAATCCCACAGTAATACAACAGTAATAATCCCTCCATCCATCCATGCATCCATCAGGCTCACTCTAAACCTAGAGCCTCTTCCAGGATGGATGGGATTCCAGAACATTCTGTAGTATCATAACTATATTTGGCTGACTAATGCCTTCACCTAAAGTAACTTCATACAATAACACTGGGTTACAAAAAATTTTTTTTGTGAGTTGTCTAATATATTTCTGCTGATTTTGCGTATTTCTGGCCCACAGAACACGAATATGGCATCAGTCTTTGTAGATCAGGTCAGGTTTTTCAGCTAAGTTGATTTTAAAATAGTGCGATTTTCTGTCTTGAAAAATTTTTATTTACCACAAAATTAACTTTATATATGCAAATTGTATGTTCAATCATCACTGTTCAAAACTTGGGGCTTAAATTTCCTTTTCCTTGAAGTTCTGGAATGTCCAGCGGCAGGGATGTCTCTAGTCAGAATGTATTCGCCGCAAATGTAACAAAAGACATCAGGTTTATTTCTGCAAGATCTTCTTAATGATGCCATCTCATTAACTTTGAAACTCTAAATAACAATATTTGTAATATGCAGCAACAAAATTTACTGAAATTTTAAGTATAGGCCTATAAATGAGAAACACACACGCACGCACACAATGTAGTTTACGTAATGCTTTGCATGGCATCAGTTTATCTAATTTCGACAATAGATCAAAAAGTTGACCTGGTAGCGCAAAACCAATGTGATTTTTGGATTTAGCGCATTAAAATTATCCTAGATCAGCTATAAAAAGTTAGACCTTTTTTTCACTGTTGACCAGTGTAATTTATACAGCAGTTCCGGCTTGGCTTTCTGAAAAGGTAGAACAGCAGCAACAATCCCCAAAATTTCCTGAAGCATCGTTCCAAACGCTCGCTGCACAAAGCAGTACGGAGCAGGCGGTGATGAGCAGAGACACATACACGGCACAGGCTTCAGAGACACATACACGGCACAGGCTTCAGCCGCTGAGATATTTACGACCCGTTCTGGGGCTGTTAAATTGGCAAAACATGACCAAAGGGTCATGGGGACGGGGGCTGCTCAGACCCCAAGAGACCCAAGAAGAGAAGGTATGAGCAGGACAAGTGTGGAGAGTGAAACACACGTGGGACACACGTTTAATGAATTTCCAGTGAAGGTTAGCTGAAAAACAGAAGGGAAGTGCATGAACAAAGGCCATACTCTTCCACATAGACTGCCCTCTGCATTCTGAACATTTTCATTCTTATTGGATTACATTAAATTCACAAAATAACAGCGCCACGTTCACATAACAACTGCACGGTGCCCTCTTGGGCAGATTTCCCGAGGAGGAATTCCAGAGGATCACACTCCAAAGCCCCAAAATCCCAGGAACAAGACAGTGCTTTTTTTGAGAGCCATTAAAAACACCCAACGCTCCTAAAAGTAAACCCTGTAAAGTAGGAGACATTCTCCATGTGTGTGACAGTGCGCTAAACACTGTAATGTGCAGGATATATCAGTTTGGAGGCAAGAGGAATTTGCATTTTGTGTGTGTGTGTGTGTGTGTGTGTGTGTGTGTGTGTGTGTGTGTGTGTGTGTGTGTGTGTGTGTGTGCACGTGCGTGAGTGAGAAAGAGACCCGGCCAGCTTCATTGTGTACAAGCTCCTGGACCAGAGGCAACAACAGGCTGGTCTCTTCAACATTACAGCAACAAGCTTATCAAGCGGGCCGTACTTCTTACATCTGTGATGATGATTAAAAGAAAAACGGGGAGAAAACTTTTTCCCTCTCTTTTCAAATAAATGTAACGGCTCACTGAACACAACCATGACATTTACAATCCAATCAATTAAATCGGATTTTTTTTTCTCCATGCAATAGAAACTATTTAAAAAGTAAACTCAACAGCTACCCAATTCGGGAACCCGTCTAAGCATAAACAGATGTGGATGCAATTAGGCTTTCAAACGATTCTGCCTGACCTCAGATACCCCTGACTTAGCCAGCGGTGCCCCGAGTCAGCTGATCACCGAGCGCTGGAAGAAAAAGATCATTGTGTGTGACCGCCGGCACGATCGCCAAGGCGAGCTCACGTCGCCACGGAGACGACGGCAAACAGGAGCAAACACAGAAGCCCGCAAACTCTCGCTTTCGGTCTCTAGATTTCCCCTGCCTTTCACATGCTGTCTCTTAGTGCCCCCCCCTAGTTTGCTCATTTCCATGTGCCACCCCCATGCTTCCGTCTCCATGGGGCGATAAAAACGGCCCTCTGGAATTAGGGTGCGGAATCGCATTTTCACACCCTGTCCTGCTGCGGGTACCGGGGCACCGATTCGGGTCGAGCTGTGCTCGGGTGGGGGGGGGGGGGCACTCACGATGCTCCTCAGTAGCCCGTCGCCGCTGCTGAATGTCACCGCCAGCATGGAGGCACACTTCTCCGCATAGAAGGGCTTCCTCCCGTTTTCGTCCACGGCCCCTGCACGCAAAACAGGAACATATGCACATGCACAAAAACAAACTTTTCACCTCACCGGCATACTCGGGGTGTGGGGGTGACTGTATCACAGATTTCCAAATACTTGAGTGAAACATCTTTGCAGAACTGCAAATATTTACATTGTCACTTGATTCCTACAACATCACTACTTGCATGAAATCTTCGCATCGCGATTCAAAAAAAATTAACGCTAAACATAAAAATGATGACATCACCATCGGAAGGATGGCTGTGAACAGTGACATCATAATCTAAGCCCCACCCATCTCACCCCACCCTCCTCGCGGCTCACCTATGGTGACCGTGTAGATGGAGTTGGCGTAGCCGTCGTAGTTGCAGTCGTCCTCGTTCTGACCGCCGTTGCCGCTCGCCACCACGAAGATGCTGCCGAAGCCTCTCCGGCCGGCGATGACGCCATGCTGCAGCGCTACCTGGTGGCGCGGAGGAGCAACAGCGCATATGGTTTACATCGGCCTTAGCGACCCATGGCTACCGACTGCTCATAGGCTGCTTAAGACTAACGGGATCTCAATTCCACACACCCCCAAACGCCAAGACAAAACGCTCTCCTTCAAATGTGGGGGGGGGGAGGAAGAAGAGTGTATCAGTAAGCAGTCGTGGCAAGAATTCAACACAAAGGCCCTTTTATTCAGTTTTGAATAAAAATGAAATACTAAAATGCCCCCCCATCCATAAATAAATAAATATGGTCGATTCATTGTTCCTTGACAGTTCAATGGAGCTGCCCCCTAATTGTTTATGATGAACGGCGGGGAAATTTTTCGCTATAATTTTTTTTTTTTTTTGAGAAGTCCTGTCTTGAACTGTTAATGATCAGCACATCAGGGCATGTCACAGAGCGCCATAAGCGCGCTGGACCGCGAAGGCACCCGGATTTGGCCCCCTTCTGGCAATCCTGCCAGATGTGTTCTGAAGATGTGAGTTTGGACTGGGGGGGGGGGGGACAAAACCCACATAAAGGAGTGTTGGGAGCCAGAACCCCAGCCAGACGAGCTTGTCTTGGCCTCGGTCTCTGCCGCCAGAGCTGTTCCCTCCGGTCTCCGGACATCGTAAAGTACTTTTCCTAGAGGGGGTGTGAAAGGCTGCCAGACACGACTACCGGAAGTCGGGTAGGGAGGACAGAGGGATTCTGGGAGGAGAGGGGAGGGGTACCGGCCTAGCAGTACCCATGTGCTGTCTGATCCCCGCAGGTCAGAGTGACGGAACCAAACGAAGGTGATTTATCTAGAAGCTTGCACAGCCTGGCCTCTGTTTTGCCCTTGGCTCCCCCTACTGGTCACAACTACAAAGCGAACCGCATGCACACGGGAATTAAAGCGCACAAGTGACCTGTACGCCTGCTGGCAGACGCTCAGACGCTGCAGTCGTGAACTCAGGCACAGCTGTTTTTACATCTGCTTTATCAAGCACGCACATATACGCACGCGCGCGCGCGGGCCGACACACACGCCCCGGCCACTCGCGCACTCTGTGGTCCATCTGGAGAGCAGACCGGTGCTCTGAGGCTGGGAATCTACCTCCATTAGGCGTGATGGGACTCCCACCCAGACTTCAACCCCCCCCCCCCAGCTTCCACTTGGGAGGAGAGGAACTCTGGTGGGGGTCCAGTCAGCGGGAGTTCACTGGCGTTAACAGGACCACATGACACACTACAGCACCCTCACTGCTTCCATCTGCCCCCCAGCCATAGCCAGAGAATCAGACCAACTCCTAGCTTATACTTAAAAACCAGGCATGGAGGATTAGCATGCTAACAATTACTGCTAATTCTTCATTTTTACTATTGCGATGGATTAAACTGGGCTGGATGGAAAAACAAGCAAGCGAGAAGTAGCTACAGCAACTGACATCCCAGCTGAAATCAGCAACAAACAGCACAACATCTGGATAAAGTACTGAAAGTCACTTCTGCTCCTATTACTTGGAAACAGGGCAGCCATTCCAATGCAGTTCAGAGCCACCTGAGTAAATTCGGCCGTCATTAAGAGCCACGAGCTCTGGGCTCCATTTGGCCCGAAAAACACTTCCCTGCCACTGCCGTTACATCAGAGCCGACGGCCAGCATCAGCCCCGGCACCGGCTCCCCAGCGCCATCGCACGCGGGGCGCCGTCCTTTCGAGACAACCGGTGCCAACGGGCCGCCAAATGGGTCCGTTGTGCCGTGTCGGTTTCACAGCTCCCGGGAGTTTTGACGTGGCGCCAGTTTCACGGCATGGCAGCCCTAAGGAGGAGAAGCTCCGACAGCGGCCACATGCCAGGCTGTGAGATCTGGGAGGGACGTCGCTGTCTCGGCTGGCCGATCCAAACGCTTCTCTCTGTGGAGGCAGCTGCGGACCACATGGGCACCGGAGGAGCCAATCGCCGCACGTGCTCCCGATCAGGCGTCCCGGGCCGCCGCGCCAAGTGAGTCTCTGTTCCACTCATTGTTCAAAAATGAGAAACATTCCTTTACATTACAATTCCCTAACTGCCACTTTAAAGGGCAAATAAAACAGACCTCGAAATCTGAGGTGACGAGCAAACAAAGGAAACTCAATAAGGTATTGGGCGCACATTGCCGCATCACTGACCTACAGCAAACTGGCACCCATCGGTGCAGAACTGCCTGGCTATTCATTAGGTCGCTCACGCACTGCTATCCTGGATTTAATTAGGTTTATAGGCACTTACAGCACATTCATAAGATAACTGCTCCCAACTTACCAGCTGACACTAAGGAAAAATGCTCTTAAACAGTGCACTAAGACAGTGTTTCGGAAACCGGTCCTTGGGGATCCCCCAGTCGCTGTATGTTTTTGCTCCCTCCCAGGCAGTCCACATTTTTGCTCCCTCCCAGCTCCCAAGCAAAAACAGGCACTGCCTAGAGGCCCCCCAAGGACCGGTTTGCACTAAGATGATACATTCCCACTGTAAAACTTTATAATGTTAATATTAGGCCGCAACTTCCCTCTGGAGGATTCATTTTATTTGACATCAAGGAATCCAGTTTTACCTTTTACTATGGAGAACACACAGCTGCCCCCTGGTGGGAACAATGAGAAATACAAGTCTATCTGCTGACTTTGGCCAGTTTCTATTTTCATTCACAATCTGAAATCTGACCTTTCCTAGGGGATGCGGCCCATCAACAGTCCGTCCATCATCCTCAGGACCCCAGCTGCAGGAGAATTAAAAGAAGAAGCAAAAATAGGCGCTTTTCAGTTACCATCACAAGACTGAATAATTAAGGAAGTTAAACACAAAACGGTATTTACAAAAGCCTGTTAAAACAACAGAAGGCACTGTAGTTTATTGACTTATGGTTTTCTTTCCTGGCCGATGAGGAACCGAGAATCATAGCCATTCCTTCAGAATAATAGCATGTCTTTTGCATAAGCAGTTCAACAACTGAGAACGAATTCCTGCAAACAGCATGCGGACCGTAACGTTCAGCTGAGATGCATGAAATGTGCCTCATATTTGCACTTTTTAAGCAAACTGGAAGTTCCTTGCGGCTGGAGGATAAGCGGATGTGTTCCTGGATATTGCAGGCTTTGGCCAGCATTGCTGATTATCTGAATTTCCTGTGCTTGGTAGCACGCAACAAATCCAGGTGTAATAAGGAAATAACCGTCAAACCCGTAACTTCAGGGGATCCGCTCACAGACTGCAGAATGTGTCTGAACCGTGGGCCGCATGTACATATGTACAGCGCTTCTGAACGAGCCAGAGCCGGTACCTGCAGCTGTAGACATCGTTGACCTGGTAGTGCTTATTGAACGCCACAGCTTCCATGCTGTCCGTCAGGGGCCCGTCCAGCACTCGGATACCTGACAAACACACAGATAAACAAGTTTCTGCAGGAGCCTCCTTAAGCATTTCAGCCCATAAACATTATCCTGGAGCCCAGTTCCAGCAAACAGCACAGGGCACAAGAGCACATTGGACAAGAGACAGTCATAAATGCATAAAATATATGTACGGGGCTGGTTTGGAGGACGCCTGGCATGTTTACGCCAAGGGGACCAAGGAGACAAAAAATAATAATAAATTTACCCGGTTTTCCAAATCACAGGGGGGGGCCTGTGCCCATATCCCCCGCAATATGGAGGGTGCACTGTCCCACAGCAGGAGGCAGGAGTAGCCAGAGCACCATGGGGAAAGCAGGCAGCCTCCACACCCAGAGCAGGGCCCTCACACCCGCTTCTGAAGCACCAAGCTGCCGTGGGTGACTCACTGACAAGGGACTTTGTCATTATTAATTCAGTTCCCAGCTCAATCACTTAAGCAACCACATTAAATATTAAGAAATTCTAATTAACTCATCTATCTCTTTCTTCTTCTCTGAAAATCTCGCAACAACAGGAAGGCGACATGTGACGCAACAAACAACAGGTCGCTGTTGCAAATTCAAAGCAAACATAAATTCACTCGAACAGCTACTGTTTATACAAGCCAAGCGAGAGAGGATTGACATCGACGTCGGTCAGCGGCATTTGCCCTGGTCAACCCGGCCCTCAGACGTCCTTGGGCTGACTTATCTGTGACATTTGGCCTGGATGTCGGACAAAACAGTGTGGGGGCGGAGTTCTGGTTACTGAATGCCCTTAAAACAGGTCTTAAGGAATGGGCAACAGGAGAAAATCTCCCTCACAGGTAAATGGCATCGAACCGGAAGACAGTCGAAGGAGAGAAGCAACACTATTCTGAAAGAAGGGCGTCACCGACCATCAAGATAAAGCGTCAATTTCGTACTATTTCCCCCTGGGGTCAATAAAGTGCATCTCAATCTCAATCTTATAAAAATTTCACTGTAGCTACGGGCCTTACGATGAAGCACACGGTGATGACAAGAAGGTTAATGTCTATACAAATTATCTGTTGACATGAAACAGCAAGACGAACAACAACACTTAGGACGTAGTTCACATACAGCTCGATGCCTGAGCAGTTACTAACTGGACCACCCGAGACAAACGTTTGACTGACTTCCTGTAGTGAAGCTTCTTCTGTCGCTCTACTCCAACCTCCCAATGCCATCACCCCAACCCACCTACCTGCCACCCGGCTGCCATAGGCCACACCCACGGCGCAGAAGCTGTTGTTAGGAGCTGCGGCGATCTCGCCGGCGCAGCGCGTGCCGTGGTGGTTATCGCCCCGGCTGTCGGGATGAGGCATGGGATCCGGGTCGTTCGAGTTCAGGTCGTAGCTGCCCTCGGGGCTCTGAGGAAATATCAGGGGTGAGCTAATATACACTCACAGCCAGGTAGAGGGCGGAAGCCAGCGATGACCGTTAACTTATCCAACAGTCAGTGCGTGGAGCATGCGCAGAGCGCCTAGGCCAATTGGAGTCTGATTGAACGTATACATGCAGAAGTAAATCGACTTCCAATCGTATTATTTGGTTGTTAGTCCAACTAAGAGAAATTCAATTTAGTGTGGTTTCAGTCAGACTAACATGTTAACAAGTACTTTAAAAGTCTGGTTCAAGTCGGACTGACACAGTAATTTGATTTTCTTAGTGTGCATGCAAACATACTGGGTTTCTCATGAATCGTAAGATGAAAACAAGTGACCTTTAAAAGTAATGGGAAGCATTAAGTGCAGGTCTGAAGTGCACTGCTAGGGCAGTTTATAACAGGCTATTAGAAGCAGGACTGAAGTCCCATAAAGCAGGGAAGAAGCCCTTCATTAACGAGAAACGGAGAAAAACCAGGTTGCAGTTTGCAAAAAAATATATAGTATTTAGACGCACACCCATAAGTTGAGAAATAAAACAAAAAAAATATGCTGAGGTCTCATTTTTTTTCCCACGGCTGTAAATACATGAGAGTAATAGTACAGAGTTCACGGAAGTATGGCAGGGAAGCAGAATGTGTTATCAAATTATTTATTTTATAAAACTGCAAACACAATTAGGACAAAATAAATAAAATTATTAAAGTAAAAATTAATAAAATTAACTAAATCTCGTCTAAATCTGGTGTTCTCTGCTATTGAGTATGGTCACATTTCTATAGCAATAAATACCCCTATAACCTTAGTCATTTTTTAGCACGGTCTGAAGTTCCTAAATGTCATGGGGAGACTAACATGCAGAAGCTATTTCTGTCTCAGACTCGGATGATGTTGTCTCAAATAAGTTAGAATGTCAAATGTGTTTTCAGTATCTGACAGAGTGTCTGGGTCTTATTGGGTTTCCCCCCCCAGTGTTGGTGTAATTTACTAAGTTGTTCCAGTATCAGGTGGCATGGTGGTGCAGTGGTTAGCACTGTTGCCTCACACCTCTGGGACCCGCCTGGGTTACACGTGTGTGGAGTTTGCATGCTCTCCTCATGTCGCCGTAGGGTTTCCTCCGGGTACTCTGGTTTCCCCCCCACAGTCCAAAGACATGCTGAGGCTAATTGGAGATACTGTGTGAGAGGTTGGTGTGTGAGTGTGCCTCAGAGCGCTGAGCGGTTTTTTAGTTAAGGCTGGAGCGGCCGCTCTGTCTCGCTCCAATTTCGCTCCGATACCGCTCACACTACGATTCTGAGGCGTGCCCAAATCTACCCAGAATTCATCTGTACAATTATCAAGACTGTTACACAAATTGGCCGAGATGGAATTCGCGGAGTATTTCACAAAGGAAACTGATAAGAATAGTACACTTGTATGATTTATCAAACGTATAGATGACAAGAATGTACAGCAAGAACAACAATGTGGTGAAACTGTTTCAATGAGTAAATATTCACTTTGGAATCACTTTTCTCAGAAACATGAGAGTGTACTACGCAAAACGTGAGCACGTTTTATGGTTGTAGCATATAAAGTCTATAAAGTAAATTAAAGTATAAAAGCCTATAAAGTAAATATTGGTAATCAAATAAATTCGTTTTGTCATTCAAAGTAGGTCTAATAGAATTTTTTTTAATTTCACGTAACGCTGTCAGTGAAATTTTATTTTATAGAGAGACGCAGCAGCATCAACAGAAAAAAATTGAGGAATTTAAAACGTGGATGCTTAGCCTGTATATTCTTTAGGCTATTAAGCCCACTGATTCCTTTATTTTTAAGTCTATTTTAGTGTGGAATGCCATTGCCAAACCTGTCCGTTGTTGCCTCTATATGTTGCTTAAAAATAAATATTTTCTTTTATGAGTGGCAATGTTGCCGTTGCTCATATTTCTTTATGATAAGGCTTCGGTTTAAGGCGACATTTGTTAGGCATGCAGATTATTTTTGCCTCTTTTAAATAGGAGCGAGCGTGGAGCGATTTGACCGGAGCGGGAGGACATTTTAGTGGAGCGAGGAGCGGTGTTGAGAGGAGCGGTGTTGAGAGGAGCGGTGTTGAGCGGAGCGGTGTTGAGCGGAGCGGTGTTGAGCGGAGCGGTGTTGAGCGGAGCGGTGTTGAGCGGAGCGGCTTAGTGCGAATAAGAGCGGAGGAGCGGGCGGAGCCAACAGCCTAGTGAGCGAGGAGCGGAAATTCTCACTGCTCCACTGCGCTCACATGCTCTGACACACACACAGACACACACAGATAAATATATACACAGCCCCTCAGTGGCCAGCTTATTAGGTACAAACAGTCTGCTCCCGCAAGCGGGGAACCACCTGGATGTACCTGAATACATTCAGCAGGGGCGGATTAACTAGAGGTGACAGAGAATGGTGTGACAAACATCCTGCCAGAGGATGCCGTTCGGCTGAAAACACCGGGGTGGGGGAGGGGTGTTTAACAACCCTGGGCCCCGCACTCTAGGTCCCCCCCCACCCACCCACCCCTCTCTCCCCCCGCCGCTGATCTTGACTTTTTTGGGGTTTTCTTGGTAACAAAGTACATAGATCAAATGTCCACTCCACTTTGGCTAAAATATTATAATCCATAATAATACACACTAACACCATAAGGCCAAAAGTATGCAAATACCCCAATTGATGAGCGGAATTTCCTGTCTAATCTACACCTACTGCTGACACAGGTGCATAATTAAGCACAGAGTCACGCGATTTCCTGTAACAAACATCATCAGAATGGGTGGCTGTTGTACAGGAGAGGTTAGTGATTCTCCACTTGGCACCATCATAGGACACCATCTATCCAACAAGTGAATTTGCTACATTTCTGCCCTGCTAGAGCAGCCCTGGTCAAACACAAGTGAAGTGACTGTGGAGGACAAGACGTCTGCGAACAAGTGGTAAAGGAGTCGGCAAGCCGGGGCGCACAGAAAGGGCCCTGATCACCCGACATCAGTGGCCGCAAATCCGGCAACGTCCCAGCATCTAACGGAAAGCTTTGCCAGAAAAGCAGGGGATATTAAAGGAACGATCAACTGACCAACTTCAAATTACTACCTCAGGTTTCATAATGAGATGTTGGCCAAGGTGGTGGTGCTTTAGGCCATATAGTGTACATTAGATTTGACCAATCCACAGCTACGATACCACCCCCCCCATAAGCGAATATTATTGACAGCACTCCTGCCCCCACCCTGATCAGTTAGCACCCCATGCTTTGATTAGCCTATTATTAACATTGCATCATTTTTAATTCCCTCTCGTTTCTCCAAAAAATGGCTCAAATGGCCCCTTAGGGGCCCCCAGCCCGGGGCCCCCAGAGACGTTAGTCCGCTCCTGGCCAGATTCATTTAAAGCCAACAGTACGGTCGCAAGTGCAAAAACACGAGCTCAGTATAACTGTACTGCATCTCTGTAGCTGTCTGTCCTTAAAGTGGCTCTGAAGACAGAAGGGGAATCATACGTGGTACTGTGTAGGAGTACCTAATAAAGTGACCTCTGGGTGTGTATATACAGAAATATAGAATAGAATAGAACAGAACAGTGATGCTTTAATAATCTACCCCATCTTGCTCTCCATGAGACACATGCACACATATACAAGGGAAAGCACACTAGGGGGGGGTCACAGCACAGGGTCAGCCAGCGTGCAGCACCCCTGTATTTGGGGGTTAAGGATCCTGCTCAGGGGCCAAATGGCAGAATCGGTCTGCCAGCCCCAGGATTCGATCTGGTGACCTTCTGATCACGGGCATGGGGTCCTAACCCGCTGGTCCTAACCCACAGGAAGGCAGGCCTGTGTGCAAACCTGTGATCTTCTGTTTACAAGACAGACTCCTAGCCAGGTTCTCACAAATCCCGCTTCACGCATTATCTCTATCTACGCAAATATGCACATAAGTATGCACAAATGCATGACCATATACAGGTGTGAGTTCACACCCTTAACCACAGACTCTGGCATACTGCACATTACAGCATTACATTTTTCTTTTTGTTTTGATCCCCATGTTATTTCAGAGAAGCACCTGTGCCTGAAAGAGAGCTCGTATACCACAATACAAAGAAGTATGAATACGAAGAATGTGCGACTCACATAGTTGGGCTGGATGTCCTGCAGCGTGTGCTGAATCCCGTCGTCAACGACAACTACGGTGACCCCAGAACCCGTGACGTTGCGTTCCCACACCCCCGTCACGTTGATATCCATCCCCGCTCTCACTTCGTTGTGCTGGTGGATGGGGGGGATTCACAAAGCAGGAGAGGCGAGGATTAGTCTCAGAGAACCAGAAAAACAGCATCACACAGATGGGTGGAGAAGGAACATGACGCTCCGCTAATTACAGCAGAGACTTAATGCTAATGCTAGGCTAGGCCAGCGCTATTGTAATACGCAGCAACAGCATCAGCACTCCTCCTGCTTACTTTGATGGAATCATAGTCCAGTCCTAGGAAACCATAATAATCATTACATCAAACTGAGCGTGACCGTTACACAGAGAAAAGGCTGCGTCTCACCAGATGCCACTGCTTGGGGTATCTGGGGTCGTTAAATTCCATGCTCCGCTTGGCTCTGCGCAGGGGTTGCTCCTGAGAGTGCCAAGCCACATCGGGATGGGCAGCCAGCACTTTCGCCGCTGCCGAGATTTCCTCTGGCTGCCCATGGGGGGCGTAGCAGAACAGGTAGTGACCCTCGAGCTGCCCGATTTGGCCCCAGTTTTGAAGTCCAGCCTCCTGGGCCACGGCTTCGGCGAGGTCGTCCAGTCTGCGCCCGTCTTCATCACTGGCGCCCAGTCGCACCGCCCAGGACCGGCCGGGCACGCAGGCACCGCTTTCCGGCCACCCGAAGCCCGGGTGGGGCTTAACGGTCGTCAGGAGGAGCAGGGGTATCGGTGGCAACAGGAGGGCGAGGAAGTGCGACAATGAAAAGGCCATAACACTGAGCACGCCTCCTCACCTCTGTTCCTCCTCATCGACCTTCTCAGAGGGTAGGAGAATAGGGAAGCACTGAAAGGAAGAGCAGGAGAAGGGATTGCAGAATAAGTCAAGAGGAAAAACCCAAGCGATGAAGAAGAAGCGGCAGGAAAGAAATTCGTAAGGAAGAACACAGGCAGTATGAAAGAGAGAGACACAGAAACACGTGCAAATAGTGAGTAATATACAGAGAGTGTAACATTTCCATAATGGTGGTCAAATTTCACAGCAATGGTACTGGCAACTCTAGTTACCCAGCAATCTAACTTCAAAACATTATCACACTGTCAACAACGCTGCCATTTTGAAAGATGGCACAAAACATGTCTGGCATCTAGCTGTTAACACTGCCTGCAGTTACTGTTGCATTTCACAGTCTCCATCTCGAATACATGAGCGCACATGTGGCATATTTTAATGCTAACTTAAAGACAAATTCACGGCCTTTAGACTGAGAGTGCACAAAACAACTGTTTTCAGTACAATTATATAATTTCTAAATTGCATGCACTGAAGCACAATGTTTCCCAATGTCAGATAATCTAGAGGGCAGCAGGCTACGTCCAAAAGGAAGTTTTTTAGCTCCGATTTTCCCATCTCCAATAGTTTTTGTAGACTGCTGATAAAACCCCCAGATTGAAGGCAAATCAGTGTTCGATCAAAGCTGGCAAATTGGCGCTTGATCACTATGTGTGAACTGTTAACCATGCAACTCAACAGAGTAGCCGATGCATCAACGATGCCTGTCAGATATCTAGCAGATATCTTGTGAGCCTTTTCACAAAGGCTCACAAGAGAAAATAAGGTAATGGTCAGCTAACAGTGACTGCATATCTATGTTCACTTTGATCATGCTACATGAATGGGCGCTGTTATCCATCATCAAACTGACTTGTTAGCCATATGTTCATGATGGTTTATAGGAATCACAGAAGCTACTATTTTCTGATTTGATCAACTGTACGAAAAAAAATGCAAACAGAATACGGTAATGTCTCTCACCTTTAGCTCACGTCACACTTGTCAGTCAACTTCCGTCGAAGTCTGTTGGGGAAAAATAGAATTAAAGATACTGCCAGATTACTTGATTTTCTAATTTCTAAACATATGGTTCTTATACAACAGCTCGTTGTGATATTACTGTAAAATATTAATGTTCTTGGTAAAGCAGTGGATCTTCCCAATCGTTTGTATAAATATATTTCAAGTGGCTTGGGACTTCGTTTCAACAACCTGCTAAGCTTAGGAAAAAACGCAAGGGAAATACGTAGAAAGCAAACCGAAACCGACACGGAAAAGTTTACTGGAATACTTTTGTACTTTCATGAAGTACCCTAGTCATTTCCAAAGCTTTGAAGCTACTTTGACAAGCAAAACTAGGGTACAATCGTGGAGGTGTCACGTTAACGGCACAACACTCGCGTAACAAAACCTATTTCTTACCTTAGCGACGAGAAATATTTACAGCAAACAGCAGGTTATATTTTCATTCTGACGATCAGGAGCACAACTTTCCTCCGACAGTATAGCACGTCCCGCTGTCCGAGCTCGATCCCTCCATGTTGTCAAACGGCACTTGTGCTTCCGCGTCGTCCGACAAAATCAGGGGGTGACGTCACTTCCGTCAACACGCCCCCAAACAGATTGTGCCTTTAAAAACAGATCTGAGACAACAGATAAATACGTAGTATTTTAGCTAACATGACGGCACTGCGTTTTGCTCGCTTTTTTTCTGGTTGATTGAAACCTACATCCTGACCGTATTTAAGGCAATGAATAAAACGTAATTGAACCACACGGGGGCGCGAGGATGACTTGTATGTAATATGTAAGTAAATGACACTATAAATAGTGCCTTTCTTGAAACGCCACCAAAAGCACCAAATTATGAAAAACCGGGATTCCTCCCAAATGTACTATTCCGCTTATTGGTTGCCTAGGTGACCTGTATTTATGTTGGGGGCATCGCTGTTTTTGTGTAGGGATTGAATCCCGATCCTTGACAGCTGTTCCCTACCTAAATATGTAAGTCAGCTGGGCTTTATTGTAATACCATCCGTATACAGGTGTACACGAAATAACGTCCCCTCAGGACCACAATGCATCATACAGACAGCAAGTGACAAGAGGTGGGGTGTCACAGTCGCTGAGCGGTAGTTTGTAAAAATGTTAATTTTATGTATGTCTCAGCAGTTCTATGGTTGTATGATTGTACTATAGCCCGCAAATCACCATGTTTTGCATATGAGGCATTACTATGTCATTAAAACGATGGAACATAATTACAAATTGCATTTCTTTCTTTAATAAATGGCTCATAAGGATGCGAGCTGCCCCCATTAAGCTAAAGAAATAATCGTCATCCATCCATCCACTAATCTTTCATAGCACATATGCAGTACTGGTTTGTGGTGAGCTTGCAGTCTATCCTGGGAAACACAGGGCCGTTGGCGGGGGACACCCTAGACAGAATGCCAGCCCATAATAATTATTATGGGAACTTATTGTATTATATTTTTATGATTATATTATCCATCAATCTTATTATCCAACCGCTCATCCTACTCAGGGTCAGCAGGAAGCCTGGAGCCTTGGTTTATTATTATAAGGGAAATATTAAACCTTGAAGTCACTGTATGATTTTAGTCTGACTGTCCACAATTACTGTACATCATCCTCACTGTTCCTCTTCGTTCTCTTCTCTCGGTCACACACACACACACATTTGTAATTATATCTTTGTGGGGACTCTCCATTCATTTCTATGAGGAAAACTCTAATCCCAACATGACTACCTTAACCCCTATCCAGCCCTAACCTTAACCATAAGTAACCAAACGAAATACTTTTGGTATTTTTAGTTTTTTAATTGCATTTGTTATAAAACCGACAAAATATGATAATAAAACTGTCTCCGCAAATCTGGTCCCCACGATGTACAAATTACAAAAATGCATTAGGTGCCAGCTGATGTGAGTGCTGAATGAGATGCCTTGCAGTAATGGACTGAATCACCCAGCAAAGAGAAAGTCAGGTGACACACCCCTGCAGTTCATTACTTCCAGAACCTAAGGATAGAAAAAGAGCAGAGCAGAGCCTTATACACAAGCTGATATTGAATGAAGGGATTAAATAGTATCAGTTATAAGAAATAAAAGTACTTGATACTCGAAATGCAACTTTCAGCTTTTTTCACCTAATTATTTTACTATTTCCTCTGTTACCTTTACGTCTAATTTAGTCATCATCTTTGAGGTAATAATCCATCTACTTCACAATGCGTTCTACTTCCCACCTTGTACCTTATTTTGTTATAATGTACCTAAACAGATAGATGACTGTCCATCACAAGGCCCACACACATTTTAGAAGCATTGATTAACCTATGAAAGAGGGAACTTGATCCCCAGGGAGGAATTTCTGTTGTCCAGCGTCATCAGAAACATAAATAACTCCAAGGACAATATCCTTTACTCCTCATCCTTCATTGCTACGTCTCATAATCACAAAATCATCAGAGCACTTCTGCAAATGGCATGGACCAGAGTGTGAAGTCAGCAGCGTACAGAGTAAACAGTAATGGTGTCCCTTGCACTGGATGAACTGTGGCCTGTCAGTGATGTAATCTATGATCCAGGTTGCCATGGCATCCTCAGCTTGCATCTCCTTGAGCTTTTCCACCAGCAGGGAAGGCAGGATGGTGTTAAACACAATGGAGATGTCAAGGGAGAGAATCCTCATGATGTTGCTCTTTTTCCACAGGTCTAAGGGGCTCTGTCAATTTTTTTATAAGATTGTATATTGCACATCTATCAGTGCCTGGTATGCAAACCAAAATAAGTTTTCAAACAGGTGGAAACATGGAAAATTGGGGAAATCCATCTTACCCATATATTTTTTTTTGAGAAATACAGCTCAAAGCTACCAATCATGACCTAATTCTTTCTGCCATCTTACAGTCCTTTACTGATTATAGTTTTTGTCATGGTGTGTCTCTCTTGCTTCAGATTTTCAGAGCTGCATGTATGGAATTTCCCTGCTCCTCTTATGAGGAACAGCTGCAGGTAGATTATTGGGAATTATCTTGTGCCTGATTGGATGGTCTGTATCCAGTGAGTTTCAGTGTTGTATGTATCAGCTTTGTCGTTTGATTTTAAGGCGATCATTTCTGATACTTATTTGTGTCTGTAGTTTTTGCCTCCTACATTCATACTATAAAGCTGTAGTAACATCCAGTGAGTATTGTACAGGGTCTGCAAGCTACTCCATGTATTTTATCACTTCCATCCAAATCGTGAGTCGACACTCTCTTTTTTGAACCAGTGACAGGCTCCTCTACAACATGCTTGCGCCTGTGACAGGAGAAGCTGGCAGAAACTGAGCACGAAATAGCAAGTTGCACCTGCTTTACCTCCCAAATTACTCAGCCATTACTCTGAGGCTCACTGCCTATGCTTATGCTCCTCCCACTGTGCCTATGAAATCTTCACGTCATATCGCCCACATCCTTTGTATGCAACACAAGGCCTTTATCCCCTAAGTACACACATTTTGCATATTGTTACAACAGCTACTCATAGAGTTACTAGAACAGCTAATGAATATGTGTAAATATATACTAAAGTAATTTTAAAGTGTAACAGGGTGGAATGGGGTTGCTGAGTAGCTCACTAGATAGAATTGTTACCTCACATCTCCTGGGTTGGGGGCTTGAATCAGTATTGTGATTAGTGTGGGTGTGTTTGTATTTATTACATTGTGCGGACCTGTAACTTTTGACCTTTTTTGGTCCCCATAAGGATAACCTCAATTTTATGAAAATCTGTGAATTAATAATACTAAAAATGCCAAAGGTCTTGTATTTAATTTGGTTACTTATGGTTAAGGTTAGGGCTGGGTAGGGGTTAAGGTTGTCATAGTTGGGATTAGGATTATTATTAGACATTAATGGAGAGTCCCCTCAAAGATATGAATGCATGGACTGTGTGTGTGTGTCTCTGTGTGTGTGTGTGTGTAGAGATGGCATGTCACCCCTGTCATGGTGGTCACCACCGGAAGCTTTAGTCCAAGGACATGCGGTTAGGGTAACTGGCATCTCTAAATGGGCTGTTTTGTGTGCCTTGTGATTGACCAGCATCCCATGCAGGGATCTACTGCAGCCATGTGTCCTGTACTGCCATGGATGAGTTCCAGTCTCCCCAGTGACCAGGATTAATGGTTAGTAGATTAATGGTTTTCAGGGATGTAAGCGTGAAGCATTTTTTTCTTTAGAAAAGAAGGAGGTCACACTCTTACTGGAATGAACTGGGACTTGTTTGCATAACCTTTTATGGACATGCCCTGAGCCAGGAGAACTGGATCATCTAGTGAGGTCATTACTCCGAGACGATTATATTATGTACTTTATTGAATGTCAGTACAGTCAGGTTCACCTGAGTGAGATCCAGGGCAAATTATTTACAGCAAATCAAACAGACCAGATGAACTTGCAGGCTTCATTAGACTTCATTTAGATGTACTTCTCTATGCATCGTTCTTTTTGTGTACATTTATACATGTTATTTGCTATAATCACAACACTATTCATATCTATAACTGAAGAGGGGACTGAACAGTTGGGGTGTGCAGTTGCATATAAAGACTGTACATCTTAAAAGTTTGAATTAATAACCCTTGAAAAGACCTAGATATGTGCCAAATCACATCAACTTAAGAATTCAGTATAGTTGATATTCTTCCCTTTAAACATATGTTCTTGCATATGTCTATGTAAGAAAATGTTGTACGGCTAGCATTTCTGTTCTATTTCAGGGGGACACTGCTGAGGGAGTACTGGCACTGCTGATGTGAAAATCAAACAAAATATTGATATTCCCCAAAGTCCATCTCTCTGTCGTAGATACAAGGCAGCATTACCCATGTGCAAAAGCGGGCACAAACGCTCATAGTAGCTCTACCCAAATCCCAGCCAAAACCGCTTCCCCCAAAACGCGGGTCAGTGAGGCAGTCCACCGCCTGCATTTCTGAACTGGAGTGGAAAGTGAAGTTTCTCCTCCCCGTGTAGTGAAATAGGGAGATGTAGTCTTCTACTCTCTTGGCTTGTTCTTAAGTTCTGATGCGTCTGGTGCCTCCTTATGTTGACCCGCACCACTGGACGATACGCACACCAGAACAGTACAAAACAACATCTATTTCCAGTGTGCTGGCCTGCCTCGTTTCCCGTGACACCACTCACCCCCTGTCCCACCCCCTCACCCCCTTACCCCTCCTCATTTAAGGAGAGAGATGTCGTCGGCGAAATCGCCCCCACCCAGACGGAGGCAGCGGGTGAAGCGCCATTGGCAGACAATGAGGCACAGAGGCAGCATGAAGAGAGCACATATGCCAGCCATGATGTAGGCGATGGTCATCAGAGTAGACTCGTCTGTCTGAGGTATGTTGTAGCCGCAGTCCTCCAGGTCCATGCTGTGGAATGGGCCCTCCACCGAAGCTGTCCGGAATTCATCGTGAACTGAGGCAGAAATTTGAGGGGGGGCGGGTGACACACAAAAAGACCGGTCATTGTATGGCAGGACTGTTAAACCCTACATGTAGGTCGACGGTTCAGTAGGACTTCTTAAACCGTGACAGAAGGACCCCAGCAGTGTTTTTTTCCACCTGGTCGCTAAACCCATCAGATTCAACCAATTAATTTAACAGCATCAGTGGTCGCTTGTTGGCTCAGTAGGTTGCGCAAACCTCCAGCGCTGAAGATTCAGGTCTTGCCTTCAGCCCCGTATGTGTGCTGTGTATGCTCTCCCCACGTCCGGAGGAATCCCTCACATAGTCCGAAGACGTCCAATCGAAATCAGTGTTTCTGAAGCCAGGCAACGTATCAGATGGTCCACATTGGGGGAGACCAATAATATGGCCCGTCTGGGGTCCCCAAAGACCGGTTTGAGAAACACTGCTCAAAATTACCCTAAGTATATGACTGGATGTATGTGCTCTGTAATGGCATCCTGTCCTGGGTCTACCTTCTCCTTGTGCTCTTTGCTGCCTGGGATAGGCTCCAGGGCCCCCATGACCCCATGGGGGGATTAACAAAACCCGTGTAACTGCCTTTACTGAATTCCAGTTTGTTAATGAAAAGCATGCTGGGCTAAAGCACTGGCAGGCATGCAGTGCCAGGCATGCAGTGCCTTTATGTGCTTTTGTCCATTTTGCACCTTCAGCACAACCGCACTCATTGGAGCACAAAAAAATGAGTCGTTCGTGAATGGTATCCATGGTGACAGCACAAACAGTGCTCTCCCCGTGCCCCGTGCCCTCCCACGTACCATGGCAGGTGCTGACGGCGAATCCGATGCGCTTCCTCTGGCGGTCGAACACCACGTAGAAGCCCTCCATGATCACGGCGCCCATGACGGTCCCGGTGCTTGACTGGGACACGGCAAACTTGTAACAATCTTCCTGTGCCGACGCCACGTCCTCGACGGGCCGGAGGTATTGCTGCCGAGAGACGGGCCCCCGTTGAGAAGCGCGGAGGACAGCAGACGCTCGAAAACACTGGCCATTCATTCCCCAGTCAACGAACACAGCATTTAAGCATACGACACCGTCTAAAAGTCTGCAGCTCTCACATTAGAAACTAATGTTATTCCTGTAAAAAACGGTTACATCAGTGGTTGTATCAAAATGCAAAAGCAATATCAAACTGCTATGCCGTTGTTGTTTTATAACAAATACAAAAATGAAGCATTTGCAATACAAATTTTTCTTTTTTGCAAAAAAAAATAACAAAAGTAAGAATTTTGGTATGACCAAAACCCAATGCAGAAAAGCAACAGCAAGTATTAATTATATTCTTAGTAATAAGAAATATTCAGTGGTGGACAGTTAAAAAGCGAGACAGGTCCAGGCATCAACAGAGGCATGCAGGCCAGGACTCGTGGAACGATAGACTAATGGCCATAACAGCACACAGACAGTTGCTGTCGTCCTTTGGCGATGCCTCCACCGACCGGCCCTTTTCACAGGACGCCCCTGGGGTTCAGGGCCGCCTCAATCGCCCCCCCCCCTCCCCCGCCGCCGTACCTGCGGCAGGATGGAGATGCGGAAGGACTGGTTGCGGTTCTCGCTCATCAGGTAGAGGGAGATGACCGGGAAGATGTGCCAGGGAGTGGTGCCTGTCTGCCAGCACACCAGCTGCTCTCCCAGCCAGAAGCCTGATGGGAACTGCTCGGTCTGCCGAGTTCGGGGGGGGGGGGGGGGTAAGGGATGGGGATGAAGGGAGGGCATACAGTAATGAAAGTGATGATGAGCTACAGCAGAATCAATGAAACTGGTGAATGTGTTAAGTATGTTCAACATCCTTCATTTGCCTTTTGTACATTGGTAGATAGGAATTCTTATATATTAGGGAAGCACCGATCTCAATACTACTACAGATATTGGATCCGATACCGTCCTTATGTACTCGTCCTTGTAACAATGTAACACCGACGCATTTGCCTACAACCAATACCAAGTAATGACGTTTCAGCGATATCATTATAGAGCAAAATAACGGGAGAAAATGTTTGCAATGCGGAGATGCTTCAAAGTTAAGAATGAAAACAAAAGCAAAGCAGTCTGCAAACTGTGCTCTACTAAACTATCCAGAGGAGGCACAAAAGCAGGTTCGTACAACACTACTAATGTCATTAAACATGTAAAAATTAAACATAAAGAAGAGTATGATAGAATCGCCACCAGCAACCCTCCGCAAAAACCCACCATGCAGCAAACACTGGCTTGGCGTGGAGAGAGAAAATGTCAAACTGTAACCCTCTTGCAGTGAGAATAACAGAAGCTCTCCCAGCATAATGTCAAAATGGTGATAAACACAGAGCGTAATATTATTTGAGGTACTATTTTCCGCAGAGACTAAAAGGCGAGAATCAGCACCGCTAATCAGCATGTCCCGCCCCACTGCCCCCCATCTGGGAAGATTAACGGATTTTCCATATATCGTTTATTCATGCTTTCACGTTTTCTTTTTCCACCTAAAAAAAATTACGTGCCTTGCTTAGTGCCACACGTGTGATTGTGATTGTGTGGATTGTGGGATGATTTCGATAATGGTTATCCCGAAATTTTTAAATTAAAACATTGCATATTATTTTTTTAGACATCCTAATTGGTATCAGTGAGTACCAGAAAGCAAGTACGAGTACGAGTACTCAGTATGAAAACAATGGTATTGTTACATTCCTCTCCCTTTCTCTCTCTTTCTAAACACACACACACACACACACACACACACACATATATATCATTACATACTGTAAAAAACATGACTTAAGTTTCCATTTTTATCAGTAGTAAATTCTTGAAGGAGGACATGTGAGGCATGACGTTACATCTATTCTATTACATGAGGTTACAAACAGGAAGCTGATGCAATGAAATCAATGGAGAGGCTGGTGTACATTGCTTTGAGAGGGCCGGGACCTCCCCCCGTTCAGGGACAGTGCTGGGGGGGCCGGGATCAGGGAGGGGTGAGCTCACCGAGGAGGCCGCCTCGATGGCCTTGACGGCGGCCTGGAAAACCTTGCGGGGGAGGCGGAGGTTGGTGGTGCCACTATCCACGATGCTCTTGTCATAGTTGTACTGTGGCGGGGGGGGGGGGGGGGGGGGGGGGGGGGGG